GCTCACTGGTGGGGAGGCTGCGCACACCAGCTTAAGATCCCTGGTGAAGCTTGCGGTGAATGAACATCGCGGTGTGTTTCCGTCTAGCCGGCGTCCGGAGGGGGCGGCCAGTAGCGCTCTGAACTGAGCTTCGGCTCCCTGTTAGCTGCTGGTACGTACTCTGGGCGTGCCTAGTGGTCGACGGGCCACGGCGCCAGCATAAGCTTCGTGGATGACTCCCTTCCTTAAGCGCCCCAGGGCAAGGGGCTAGTTAAACCTGCCGGTCGAAGTCCCGCGTTTTGCGGCTGGTTGAGGGGATGTCTACACGTTGCTTCGCTGGTCAGGCGAGTTGGGTGAACCCCTTAGCTGCGTGGCGGACAGTGAGCGCTAGGGTGAGCGGCTCTTACGATCTGTCTGCCTGCGGCGAGGGGGGGTCGGTTAAGCGTGCGTTGTTGAGGGCTCCCAAGGGACATCTTGTCCTGAGGCTTGCCTAAAGCATCGTGCGTTGCCGGCTAACGGTCAAAGTTCGTAGTGGGTAGCCATGCTCACTGCGGATCAGACCGTCGGTTCCTCTGCGGCGAAGGCCAGTATAGCTGCAGTGCCTGGAGCAATCTGGGCCCCTATCGGAGTCGCTGCAGGGACTGTTGGGTTTACTCCCTTCCGCAGGTTTACTCCTGCGTCCCTGTAGCTTCTCCTTTAGGGTAGGATCGCTAGAGACTGGGTCACCCAGCGGTGGAGGTGCTGGCATGAATACCTCTGCTTAATGCACAGTCCGGCCGCAGTAAGGGTCTACACCAGGACTCGAGCTGCGCTCCCTTGGGACAGCAGCCCGAAAGGGTGAGGTCATAAGCACAGCTGACGGGCTAGTGTGAAAGCCTCTGCTGAACCTTGGGGGGGGCAGTTAGTGGCCGTAGTGGGTGGCCTCTGGCCTGCACTTAGGGTTTAGGATCTTAGGTTGTAGCTGCTAGGGGCCACTTTCTGCTTGGAAAGGGTGACGCCCCAGGCTGCGCCTGGCACTCTGTAGGGGTTGGGTACCCGTCCCCCCCTTTGGCTTTGCCCTTCTAAAAATTTAGGCCGCTGCGCGGGGCTTAGTTAAGGTTTACGGAGGGTTTCCTAAGCCCCTTAAGCTTAGTGGTTGTCCGTGGTAAAGCCAAAGGGGGGGGGATCCCAAAACCTGCGGAGGGGGGAGGTAGTCTAGTCCAGCTACCAAAGATCCCTGCTGGGAGGCCAAAGTCACCAAGCGGACGGAACAAAACACAGGGGTTGTCCGTTGTCTGGCGAGACTAGAACGGCAACCGGAGCCTGGACTTGGCTCCACCTGTTGTTTTGGGCAACTCTGAGCGACGGCTCTTTGTTGCTCCTGACGGGTCGCTGAGGCTCCGTAGTTTGGTGCTGAACGGCTACCACCGGCAAAGCTTGTGCGTCGCAGCCCTTTGTAGAGCTTCGCTTTTCTGTCTCACCGCTTTGCCAGTTTGTAGTTTGTGTTTGCTTCGCTTGTTTGTAGGGACCGAGTGCTACAGCCGTAGTCGACGAGGCCCAGCCAAGCCAAAAAAATACAGAGAAGGGTGCACAGTCCTCCAGCGAATCAAAGCCGACCGACGTATGTCAGAAGGGCAAATCAAGCAGCTGCGAATGACACGCTGCAAGGTACTCGCAGTACCAGCAACTGATCTTCGACAGGTGTTGACTTCAGCAATCCTGATGTCAAAAAGTGCAGGGTAAGCACTAAGTCACTCTTCAGAGACACTTAAGGCAGACTACACAAACCCATTTAACACTAATTTCCGGAATCTCAGGTTACGGGAGTTCCCGAACCCAGGGTTCGAACATAGAGTGCTGTTTACAAAACAAAGAAAAAGATTGTCAATGAGGAGTCTTTCTTTTCAGACTTCAGAAGGGCATGAAGTCTCCTACGGAATGCTAAAGCCGCGAACAAATGAACTCCGGATTCTAGACTTCCCCCAGAGTTCGAACGGGGTTCGAACACCAACAATCACCAAAGAAAGGAGAAGAAGACACGGAATCGCAACTCCTGGGGTTGCGAAGAAAACGAACAAAGACACACTACAATAACACAAACATTAACGCAAGCACAAACAAAAGAAGAAGAAGCCACACGAAATCGCTTGATGGGGTTTGGAAACTCTATGTTCGACAGCTGGGTTTCAACTCTTTGGGGCCGCCAGAGTTCACTCTGGGTTCGGAAACTTAACATTCGAACTGTCCGAACTCTGGTTTTTTTTGGCTTGACTGGGCCTCGTCGACTACGGCTGTAGCACTCGGTCCCTACAAACAAGCGAAACTAAAATCCAAGCATCAAACTACAACAAAGCGGTGAAACAGCAAAGCGAAGCTCTACAAAGGGCTGCGGCGCACAGGCTTTGCCGGTGTTAGCCGTTCAGCACAAACTACGGAGCCTCAGCGACCGGTCAGGAGCAACAAAGAGCCGTCGCTCAGAGCTGCCCAAAACAACAGGTGGAGCCAAGTCCAGGCTCCGGTTGCCGTTCTAGTCTCGCCAGACAACGGACAACCCCTGTGTTTGATCCCATGTGTTCCGTCACAACCAGGGCACCCAGAGCCAGATTCTAAAGCCCACTGGCAAGCTTCCAAACAGCGGGTGCATCGACATGGTGGCGAGGGCCTGCCTGCCCACTTCGTTTGAGCCCGACCCAATTGTCGCTTGCTCGAGAGAGAGAAAAAGACGCAACGACGTATGTCGTCGGTCACAATAGCGTTTCTGTCCAATTTGCCAAAGACTTTTGCACCATCAATGGAGTGCAGCTCTGGCTGACAAATGCCACAGCCGGAAAGGAGCAGGGAGAGGACAGCCGCCAGCAACTGATGGTGAGCGGGCTGACTCTTTCCTTTCCGCGTTTTTCTCATGTGATCCATCTAAAGTGCGTTTAAGAACAGTTCTATGCGCATTCTCTGCACGAAACGAAAGGGTTTAAATCTGATTTGTTTTCGTCAACGCTTTTTCAGATTCGGAACTGATTCAATAATTTTGAAAACACCGAGAATTTGAGTTGCTGTAGAAGTGCATTATGTCGAATTTAAGACAAACTTAGCCATTTGCAGACAGATGCAAGATCTCATATTCTCCTTTTGCACAAAAAACAGGGTTCTTTATTTTGGTTTAAAAGCGACACACGTTTGTAGCCTTCACACAACAAAAAGGGCTTACTAGAGCCTCGAACCTGAAGACACCGCGTTTCTCCTTTCTAAAAAAAGAATTCAAGCCGGAGCTGGCTCCACGAACCCAACACCAGGTTCGAATCCTGAGTTCAAACACCAAACACCGGTGTTGCGTTCGTAGTATTAGTAGAATTGGAAGTATTGGTGGTATTAGTAGTATTGGCAGTATTGTAGTTTAGTAGTATTAGTAGTATGAGTAGAATGAGTAACATGAGTAGTATGAATAACATGAGTAGCAGAAGTAGTATTCGTAGTATTAGTAGTATTAGTAGTATTAGTAGTATTAGCAGTATTAGTAGAATTAGTAGTATTAATAGCATTCGTAGTATTAGTAGTATTAGTAATATTAGTAGTATTAGTAGTATTAGTAGTATTATCAGTATTAGTAGTATTAGTAGTATCAGTAGTATTAGTAGTATTAGTAGTATTATAGTACTATAGTACTATAATATAAGTTTTTTTTCGTAGTATTAATAGTATTGGTAGTATTAAGTAGTAGTATTATAGTATTCGTATTATTAGTTGTATTATTACTATTAGTAGTATTAATAGTATTATTAGTAGTACTAGTGGTGTTAGTAGTATTAGTAGTAGTAATAAGTGTAGTTTTGATAAGTGTAGTATTAGGAGTATTCGTTGTAAGTAGTTGTAGTAATAGTGTTCGTAGAATTAGCAGGGTTCGAACACCAACCATCACAACATTCCGGGTCGACCGGAAATGCATTGCGGTTTGCTTTGCGCATCGCCGTCGTTTCTTAGGCCTTATTCATTAGCAGCGACGACGACACATCTTCTCAAGAGAGCCGAAGCTTGCATGCAAATTCATCAATTTTATTGCCTTTGACTTCAGCATTGGCTCTTGTATGCATGTACAAGAGCAATCCAGCGAGCTGGACAAGCCATCGTTGAGGTTTTTGCGAATCGCAAGGGCCGCTGCAGAAAATGTTGGTCAGGGCAAACAAGATGTACATCAATTTGACCAAACCCAATTGTTGGGAACAGTTTCAATGCTTGAAGCTTTCGCCTCCGATGGAAGCTTCGTTATTTGGTTCGTGCGAGCGGAGCCGTGACTCCTCGGATTCTTGAAAAAAACTCGATGTGACGTGTGCCGTAGGTCATCGTCCTGATCCTCCCGCAACTGGACGCTGTTGTTTGCACGCCGTTGTGCAAGGCGAATCGAGTTCGGCATCATGAACTTTGCACAGGTTTGCTTTGTAAGGACCGGAAACACTGATGTGCATGATGGTGCTTCGATGTGGACCGTAACGCGTTTTTGGCTCTTGGCGGGAATAGGGCACCCGGCCCGCCCCTGAATCGGGCCAAATGGAAAGCATCTTGGATCTCGCAGTGATTCTTTTGCTGCAGCAGTTGCAAGTGAGAAAGCATGCAAAAAACATAACTTCATTCGGTTGACTTGAAGAACAATTTGAGGTTGTTCTGAGATATAGTACGTCCCGGTGGCAACAAGGCCACTTTGCAGCCGTCATCCCAGAAACATGTGTTTTCTGTTTTTTGGTTCCAATCCAGCGCTTACAGGCTTACATCACGCGCAGGCCCTTTGGGGCTAAACTGTGTCTGTCTCAGATGACTGTGGTCGCGTGTCTAGCAATCGGATCCCACATCGATGTCCCATGAACTACGGCTACATCACCGCTCGGATGCAGCAACTTTTCCATTTGTACAGATTGTTTGTTGGAAATCTGCTTTCGTGCTGCACGCTATCGTCACGGTGCATGTTTGGCCGCGTGACGACAATACATGTCGCAGTTCCCAAGCTTGAACATCACAAGTGGCTCATTTGGCCTGAGGCGGGCATCTTGCTCATCATGGCAATGTCCTCAGAAAGATGCTCTGGCAAAGACAACTTAGATTCTGTTCAGGTTGCCCTTTTGTTTCTCAAATCTGTTGTTTGCAAAGGCAAGGTTTGCCGCCTTCACGATCCTATGCTTCGTTGATGCGCACCAGGACGCTGCCTCAGAGACCACGAACCAGCATCTTAGTTTCATGCGCATGAAGCAGCGGAAACATCGACACAGATAGCCGGATAGCCTCGTTGTGCAGCCAGTCTGGTTTGGAAGTTGAGGATGTTTGGGGTTTAAGGTCTTTTAAACTTAACCCCAAAACGCTTCAAGACTGGAGGTGGGCTCGCCGAGGTTTCCGCAGCAGGACTGCTTCGTTGGATGTTCGTGAAATAAGAGACAAGCCTGGGGAGCTAAGCAGCTAAGCATGCAGCATCCACCTCCTCGAAGATATATATATATATATATACATATGTAATATCCACACATATATATTTACACACCCCTATATATATATATATATATACACACATACACATATAGTATGTATATGTATATATATATATGTATATATATATATGTATATATATATATATATATATCTGTATATATGTATATATATATAGATAGATAAATAGAGATAGATATATATGTAACGAGAGAAAGCACACATTTTATTCCAATACATTTGTATATTCTGATATTGCAATAGTTTGACTTTATGTCATATGGTATTTCGATCCCCCTCAGCGCTCAAGCCACACCAAGTGTAGATTTTGCATGTCATCACCTAGTATGTAACAAGCTACAAATTTTCACATTATGTACTCAACCTAGATTACATGACATACTGTCATATGTCGGTACATCGTATCATTGAATATTGTCTATACATAAATACACATATACACCTGTTTCTTCAGATATTTGAAAGTGTACGTGTTCCATATTGTGTTGCAGTATACAAGACCCACTCATTTCGAAAGCAGACGAAACCTGGAGTTTTCGCTCTTCGAAACGGTTTCACGACCTACAACCTATTTCGTGCCGCATTTCGTGTGAGGGGGTGCTCTACGAGCGCCACCAATAACTGGGTGTTCCTCACGGAAACCCTTGAGAAACACGCCACACCACTGGAGAAAGCTCTGGCAGGAAGAAGCCGGCCTCCTGCAACCTGACCAGGCCTGTATCGCCAGTTTTTCCAAAATTCACGGGTACCTTATTCAGTAATTCTTGTAAGACGGATTGTGGGTCCTATGTTGTAAAGTCTGTATCAGTTTCGTTTTTGGAGGACAGCTGTGTGCTTTTTCTTCAAGGTCTTCAGGCGTTCCAAATTCTCGTCGTAGGTGCAGAAGTACGAGTAGGCATGAGGGTAAAGTCACGAAGTTGGTAGTATAGTGCTGGTCCTGACAATGTTGCTGAGAGTACTTGCGACAGCAGGAGCAGTCAACAAACCAAGAGCAGACAAACAACGATGACGAGGACGAGAGGAGGAGGACGACGACCGCGACACGAGACACCAACCGCTGCTGTTACTCCGACTACGACGACAACTGCTACGACGCCGACGACTGCGGCTACGACTGCTGCAACGTCTGCTGCTCCTGAAGCTGCTACGGCTGCCGCTACCGCTACAGCTGCAGCTACGGCTACTCCTACTCCGAGTCCTGCTCCTAACCCTACTACTACTACTACTACTACTACTACTACTACTACTACTACTACTACTACTACTACTACTACTACTACTACTACCACCACGCGTGCAGCCGTTTCGATATTGGCGGTCGTAGCAGTATGCGTATGCTAGCTTGAGCATCATGCCTGCCATGCGCTCTTATTGATGCTTCATGTCGGGATCAGAGCTCATTGCTGTCCCAGCCAGAGAGATCCCGTCCCGCCAGGCTCGCCCAGTTCGAGATCGGCCAGGCCGGGGAGCTGGAAATTTTGTCCTTTGCGTTCGATTGGCCGCCGAGGTGTCGCGGCCTACGTGGACAGCCAAGGAAGCTCGCTGCTCGAACAGGCGGGCTCTAAAGACTTGGGGCTGAGCCAGGGCTCTTTACGTGGACCGGATGTTGTTTGTTTCTTTTGGGTTTGCTTCTGGGTGCCTTGGCTGGCTGTCGGTTGTCGTGGCTGTGTTGTGTGTGCTGAGCAGGATGGGGCTGCCGCAGACCTTGGAGGCGAAGGCGAATCAGACAGAATCACAAAGGGTTGTGCGCGATAAGGTTCCTCTTCTGGGTATTTCTGGATGCTTCGGGGGACACTAAAGGACTCACCCCACAAACGCATGCGTTCGTCCGCGGTGTATCCCAGCAAGCGGCCTTGAATCCAACAGCTCTTATGTTTTGCCCAGGCTACCAGACTGCCGAAGTGGCACAGGCAGTGGTCATGGCTGCTCAAAGCTGACGGAGATTGAAAAGTCGGCGTTTTCCATCTGCTGACCTCGCAGGATGCGGATTCGGCCGAGGCATCGCAGTTGCAGGACAGCCCGAGCTGTCGCTTTTCTTCACGCTTCATGAAGCGGAAGACTTGGTTCTGTCAGGCAAGCGACATCAGCAACCTCCTGCTCTCCGGGCTAGCAGAGCTGGAGCGCTTTTCGAGAGCAGCGCTCCCCGCAATCTGGGCTCAGGCCGTGTAGGAGTCGAAGTAGTTTTTCCGTCCTTTCAGGAGGACGACGTCGATCTGAAGATTCACAAAGGAAGTGGTGATCTGGGCGCAGACTCCGTGGTGAGGCCTTTTGCAATTCATGAAGATCTGCTGATGCGATGTTCACGCAGCATATTCGCGCCTAGCTGGGTTTTAGATTCGAAGACCTCCTTGCCAGGATCAATGAGGAGGAAAGCCGGTCATCAGAGGCTGGCATGTAATGGGAAGTCCAGGATTCGGAGCGCCATTTTCTTCAGGTTCGCTTTTGGTCCTATGTGAACCTGGGGGCTGAGACCGGCCGGAGCGAGGAAGCGATGTCCCTTGGCATCAGCTGCGTTTCAGGCAAAGCACGCGATGTTACAAGCGCTTCTTCTCTGCTAGGCGACCCTCGTCGATTCACCTGAGCACCTTGGGGGACATCACCTCTGCAGTTGGGTCAACGAGGTGCCGTGACTCCGTAATCCTGTGAACTTTCAGTAGCCCCACCTCCCACATTGGGAGGTCCTACAAAGTGGCTGCCGCGATTGTGGGCTTGTCAGATGGAAAGGAGCCTGCTCTTGCAAGCCATCGTTTTGTCAAAGTTGGGTTCGAGAGCACGGGGCTGGACTGGGGCCGAAGGCAGCAGAATGGAGCAATCTGGCGCTTGCTGGGACGGCCTTCATCGGTGACTTTGCCAGAAGTCGGTTGAGATTACCACTGCCATGTGTGAAGTCGCAGATGATCTTGCTGGTCCCAGGCATCTTTCGGAATGCCTCAGAAGCGTCCCCAGCTCGGTGGAAGATCTACTCCGCACAACCTGCTCAGGCCGGGCGTGGTAACGCTTTACGTTCGAAAGTTTGTAGTCCTTCAAGCTGCCAGCGCAGCGATTCTTCCGACACCTTCACGAATTGTGAAGACACATGCCTTGGTCGAGGCCAGCATCACAACGATGAGGAGCCAGCAGGCAGAGGTGCACCGTTTCATGCCTTCAAGATGGCCAAGCTGATGCCATGTTCAAGTCTTGTTCCTGTGCATCGTTCTGGCTGAACAGGGAGAGATCTTCACCCGCGGGCAGATTCAGATTCTCAGCAGAACAAGCTTACTGGATTGATGTAGGGTCCGATCCTATACAGGTTTCCGTTTTCTTTGGGCACAAAAGCAGTCAGCTGCCCGTGCTTACATCACAAGGACCTTCACTTCTCTCCAGAACGATGTGGTCCAGCTGACCAGCTCTGGATGCTTGGCGCTGCAGAAAACTCGTGGATGTCCATGTTGTGCGTTTCCCCACTCGTCTTTTGGAGTCTAGGGCTTCCTGTCCATCTCCATTTTCGGCTTCAGGTTCCGGGTTGCTCACTACCACGTGATTCCTTTCCAGCTTGTTTGGATCCTCTGCCTCCCTCATCTGCGGGACTCTAGGCTGGCCAGCCATCACATGTACTGAACTGCTGACTCGAGAAGAGGCCAGTCACCCGTAGCTTCTTCCGGGCGTAGAGTTTGCCAACCGGCATCATCATTATCATCATCCCACCATCCCCTTCATCACCACCATCATCACCATCACCACACCATAATCACCAACACCATTCCTCATCGTGATCATCTCTTTCGCTCGCTCGCTCGCTCGCTCGCGTCTCGCTCTCTCTCTCTCTCTCACACTCTCTCTCTCTCGCTCTCTCTCTCTCTCTCTCTCTCTCTCTCTCTCTCTCTCTCTCTCTCTCTCTCTCTCTCTCTCTCTCTCTCTCGCTCTCTCTCTCTCTCTCTCTGTGTCTCCTGCTCGACTTGCATTAAGCCGTCTGTCCAAGGTCTCAGGGTTTCCGCCGGAATTGTCCACTTTGTTTGCTCGGCTTCGCGCGTTTTCCGAGTCCCATACTTGTTTCCACGTGCGAAGGTCTTGATCATCCTTCCGTTAAGCCGGTTTTGAGGGGCAACGAGACGGGGACTCGACCGTGCTGAAAGCCATTCCTCGCATTCCTCGCATCCAGCCATCTTGTCAGAGCAGAAGAAAGATATCGCCCTTGAATCGATTTGCTCCCCTCGAGCATTCGACTGACCCGCCTTGCGAAGGAGACGTCGTCGTGCAATCCATGGAGGGAGAATCGGATTTCGTTCAGCTAGCTCCGGTGGACGAGGCCCAAGTCGAGAGTTTCTACAGCGTTACTGCTAAAGAGATTCAGTTTGTGGAAGTGCTCATTGTCGTGGTATTCTCCTGTTCACAGGACCGCTGCACTATGTATCTAACACATGATGATCTTAGCCCTTGTGGATGGAGGATTTTCTTGAGGTTCCGATGCACCGAGCAAACGAAGGGGGACATACCGCCAGGCTGTCTACGGCGTTTGCAACGAGTACTGTGCCGTGATGGCGTTCGACCGCGAGGTGGGGGACCCCGTTTCAGAGTTGACTTCACTTCTCGATTGTTCTCGGGCGTTGTCGCCAACGACTATAGACTAGCTGCTGGCTACAGATGTTGCTCCGTGCAGTGTCTGTGTGTCCGGGTAGGGAGAGTGAGACTCGTGAGGGAGAACTGGAACAAGACAGCGGGGCTCTAGGAAAAGGAAGGGTTCGGTCCGGTGTGGATTGAATTCCAATGCCCTTTTGGCACCGCTCCAGTGGTGCTGCCTTGAAGCGCTCGCATTGGGTTTAGGGTTCCTAAACTCCAAACCCCAACCCCCTAAACCCTAAGTCCTAGCTTCTGAGAGCGTATCTGAGGCTGAAGTGCTCGTGGAGGAGTGTGTGGATGGCACGCAGAAGACCTACGACAAGTCCGCAATGGTCGAGGAAACATACTGGCCCCTTGCCCTCTCGGAATGCGAAGGGATTAGGGTGTGGAGGCAGGCTTCTGCTGGTACTGCTAGTGGTGGTGTGCTGCTGCTGTCACGACTGCCATACAGGTCATGGCTGGAGTGCTTGCGAGAACACGCTACATTGCTACATGCTGCCACTCTCATTAACTTATTGTTGGTTTACTCTTCATTGTTGGTTCATTCAACATGTATATGTTCATTTTTTCAATGGCTCCTGGTTCTGCGTTTTCAGTCGTATCATCTGATCATTAGCCCCACCATCGTGCACTCCTCAGGATCAGCGTTGTTTTCATGTTGTTCCTGAGTAGCATCATTATTGGTCATGCTACTTGTCATCTTGCAAGAGCTATCGGCTTCAGTGTCAGCCCTATCGGCATAGCCATAGTGCTGCATTGCTGATTATGATTATGACCTCCTGACCTCATTGCATTCTGCCTGCTTGCTTGCAGCATGTCAGGTTGATCTCTACAGTGGGCAAGGTCTGTCGATGGTCCACTACGGGAGGCTGCCAACCCAGTCGACAGTCGACAAGCCATCTCTCTCTCTCTCTCTCTCCCTCCCTCCCTCCGGTTGCATGCAGTCTTCGATGTCACTTCGATGTCAGGTGCGAAAATCGCCGGTACATCTCACAGTGACACCCCTGGCAGCAAAGCATCGATGACCTTGCTCCCATCGGCCTATTTCCAGGCTCCTCCCTGCGTGAGGGCTCCCCTTGGCGAGTTTGGGCATTTGCGTTGTTTTATCTATGCTTCGGGCGCTCCGTGAGCGAAGCCGAATTCGTACCGCGGTGTGATGTCCGATGGCCTCGGCCTTGCGAGGATCTCACGCTGTTCCCTGTCGCCCTGACGCACGTGCAGATGCTCGGCTGCAAGAGAAGAAATGCCCTGCCCGCTGCGCTGCGCCTGTTTATCTCGGCAGCGACCCCTTGCTACAGATCCTCGGTAGGAAAGCCTGTGATGGTACATCGTTCATGCCTTTTCGATGAAGGGAGACCGCCGCCGATGCGGTCTCGTGAGGTGTAGCCTTGCTGTGTTGAAGTCAAGACGGTCTAGTCTGCCCAGTCTGTCCAGTCAGGATCATTGGCACGCAAGCCACCACCTGCGAGGCACCACTTAGGAGGAGTGAAAAACCTGGAATCCAAGCCTTGAGTCATTCTCTTCGAAAGTAGCCATGAAAGGGCCCGTCCTTGTGCCTGCACTCAGTTCATGTGCGGTTGGGTGGCAGTAGCCGAAGAAGCACAGAGTCGTACAAAAGAGCAGCAACGCGTCAGAACCCATGGCAGAGGCAGCGGGACAGAAGTTTTCCTTGACGGGTTCTGGCTCGGTGCGGGGCTAAGGAGAGTGACAAAGAACCTTGTGATTGCGATTGTAGAGAAAGGGCTTGCGGATTTGTTGGTCTTTGGGTGGGTCGGTGATCTGCTCCTTGGTGGTCCCCGAACTCACCAAGCCTACCCTCACTTCTCAAATTCAAGCCGGGCAGCGTGGCGAGCAGGGGCGGTCCACCAGCCCGACAGTGAAGGAAGACGAACTGACCTCGTCAGTGCATGCCGCATGTTGAGGTCTACTCAGCCGAGCTCGATGAGGTTGCAGCGAAGTCTGCGCTCTTTTGCAAGACTCCCGACGCCAGCCTGAACAGTCTTTCGAAATGAGAGTGTTCGTTGCAATGGGATGTTGTAGCTTGCTACATAGCAAGCTTGCGATCTTTTCGGAATGCCGTAGGTGTGGCAAATCAAGCGTCAAATCTCACCGTTTGGAGCCCCAGGTGATGGTCTTCGGCATGGCAGGCGCATCACAAAGCCTCGGGTACGGCAGTTTCCTGTCATGTGAATCAAGTGCCGTCCCTTGTCAGGGGTGGGAGACACCGTTCAGCTCCTCAACTCTCCGTCCACCAGCTCCGTAGCGTACACGAAGTATGCCAACGGCCTCTCGGACAGAAGTTGTGGCCTCGGGCCAATCTTTCTTCACAAAGGCATTCACCGTCGTTTTCGCTTGTCCCAGAATCGAAATCCAGCTGGTAGTCTGGCACTCTGCCGTGGATCCTTGTCTCAGGCGTGTGTGACACCGAAGACAAGTTTGACAAAGATGCGCTGGAAGAGGAGCCGAAAGCACGCCGCTGTGATACAAGCGCCCTGAACCCGAACTACCGAACTACCCAAACCCTGCTGGCAAAGGAGCATCCGGTACTTCCTGACGGAAAAGTCTTGGAGTGGAAGCTGATCACAACAAAGGAAAAGCCAGGCAGGGGACCCCTTTGCAGCCCATGGCATGGCTCGATTCAAGAAACTGGCAGCAACACTCATGATAATCATACGGGTACTCCAAGCAGGAATCCTAGTAGGAGTGTTGCTAGCAAGCGCAAGCACCCTCTCCATTTTAGATTTCGGGGCCACAGTGGCAGGTGTCTGCAATGTGGATTCGCTGGATGAGTGCTTTTCCCTGTGCTCGTCGGTCAAGGTGGCCGTCCCAGCACAGTATTTGGTTGGTTGGAGAATGCAAGCGTCCGGGCAGTGCTCTCCGAGCAGACAGCTGAGGATTGCAAGTTCTTTGCCACTCACTTTGCAGCGAATTGCAAGGCTTGCTTACTTTTCAAGCTGCTCGGTCCGCAGCCGGTTGAATCAGGTCTCGCTTGTTGCACTTTTGGGTCCTCTGGCCGGTGCATTGGGAGTTGCTGATGTTCAGCTTGCCTGAGGAGTTGTCAATCTTCTGGATCTACATCCTTGGTCCAAGATGATGGGGAAGGTGCCTTCTGCTTCACTTCTGTAGACATCTAGACTCCTGGCGATTTTCTGTCCAGCGGCTCGTCTTTTGAGCCACTTGGCTTGCCGGGCGTTGCAGGTGAAGCCCACGGGAGCTCACAGGGTGGAACAGAGTTCGAAAGGTACGACATCTTTCAAGTGGAGCAGTCTGATGGGAAAGGCAAGAAAGGGTTTGAGTCGCAGGGTTGCAGGGGGAAGAGAAAAACAGAGAGTCGTGCAGAGGGTTCACGTTGCATGTCATGTCCTGGCATCCTCTTGCATCAGACCTGGCATCGGATTCGAATCTCATCAAGCCCCTTAGCCGCAGATGCGTCTGTCGGCTCGGCCCACATTGCAGCTGAACACCCAGGAACCCGATGTTCACGGATGGCAAGACTGGCTGGACTGAACTCTGTCCGCCAGTTCCCCGGGTCATGTGCTGGGCCACGTCAGTGCAAAGCAGCTGCCATCAAGTTGGAGCATAGGAAGGGATGAGCTGTTCTGGTTGTTCTAGACTTTCGGGTTTGCAGGTACCACTGTTCATCAAGGTCTCATGGTTCCGACTGCAGTCTAATTGGAAGGATGGGGAGGACGATGCGGATGAGGTCTCACTGCAGCTGTTCATCTTGCGTTTAACGCAAGCTCTGAGTCTGAGGCCCGTGATGTACAAACCCTAAACCCTAAACCCAAGGTGGATTCTACTAACCCAACTTGGCGAGGTGGAAAAAGGCGTTCAAAAAAACCTAGATCCTAAACCCCTAAACCCTAAACCCTTAACCCGTCTCTCAGTCTGAGGCCCATGATGTACAACGGCAAGAACTTGTCCTTCGAGTGCAAGAACTCGGGGGTGTGGAACAGCGTCCCTGAGGCCAGGCAGCCTGGCACCTGCCAAGAGACCAAGCTGATAAGAATACTAATACTAATAATAAGAGTAATCATAACACGAGTAATAGTAGTAATAGGAATAGGAACTGTAATAGTGGTAATCTTTTTGTGCTTTCTGCCTCTCTCATCCGTGGCTTCTCTGATGCCTGATGCCTCCGCAGGGAAGTTTAGTTTTCGGCTCTGGCTATAGGGGGGGAGCCAGTGTAGGATGCACGGCAATACCGGGATGGCAAAGCTTGATATTCTTTGCGGCTCGGCACTGGTGCCTCATCTTGATTGGAAACTCGGTTGTTGCTGCTTTCTACATCTGCCTTGGCTTCAACGCTGCAGTCCCACTCCCCTGCGTGACACCATGTCATGCAGGATGTGATGCTGTGCTTAGCCTTCTTGGGCGTCGCCATCCAGGTGCTTCTGACCTCCGAAATTCTGCAGGACACTTCTTGGAACAGAGGGTTTGTGTGTTTGACAGATGAATCTACGGGGGTTTGCCCAGGTTCAGCTAGGATGTCCTTCTCGCGCCTGGCATCAACTCTTCCCGCATCTTCTCTTCGCTGTCAGGAACGGGGCACCCGGAGATCACCAAGAGCAAACGTTCGACACCGACTTCTTTTCTACTTGCACCCTGGCCGTGACTGGAGAGTCTGGGGCGGGCCAGGGCCCTGGTGCCCCTGCCCTGAGATCTGAGATCGAATCCGAGGCTCTCCCTTTGCTTGCTGCTGGTGGGAATGGGCCGTGCCATTGCGGCACTACAGCTCTCTTCAATGCCCGGCGGGCCCGGGACAATTGCTGAGCTCCTTCCGCCCGTATTCGCGTTGCCCAGCTGCGGGATGAGACTAAGCGCTTTCGTTCGAAGCTGCCTTTCAGCGGGGTGTTTCCAGAATGTGATGTCCGATGGTCAGTGACCCAGAGACTCAATGCTGGTATTTCTCATAAATGGCATCGTGTCATCAACTTTAAATCGCTGATAAGGGCCTAAATAGCAAGCTCCTGATACAGGACCCTAATTTTGGTCAGCTGCTCTAACAAGCTATTATACCCCTTTCCGCTCTCAGCGGATGCAAAGCCCCAAACCGAGTCCTCAACCGAAAGCTCCCGCTCCGATAGACTAATAGACGTGCTTCCAAGAGGTCCCCAGGGTCCCGGAGCCTCAATGGGCCAAAACTCGCATAAAGCAGTTGTCCATGATATACTTTTGGACATACAAAAGCTATAAAATACTCTGCGGTGTCCTTTTTCTGACCCGAGCTCCAGGCTGGCAGCCTCCATTTCAAGCATCGGTGCAGCATCCTTGCTTGCGCTTGCAGCTCCGCGGTTGGCGCAGCTGAGAGAGGCGGTCTGCAATCTCTTGTCCAGGTCCAGGCTCTAGGTCAGTTTTCGGGAGCTTGGGCTTTCTGGACTTCCTGGGTTTCGGCTCTTAGTTTCAGAGCACTGTGACACTGCGATGTATGCATGCCATCTCTGCAGAAGCTGCGATCAGGCACAGTCAGGCGCAGCCCGAGCCGATCTTGAAAGTGGCATTCCTGCGAAGGCAGGAGCTGGAAGTGCTATCAACAGTGCGAAAGACCCAGCCCTCAGGTGTGTTTATTGAAGTTGTTCTGCTGCACCCACGGGCGGGCAGCGCAGGTAGAAGCCTAAGCAAGGCCACGCACCCTCGCACCCCCCGTCCGCCGAACCCCGCTGATGCAGATGATGCGTGCCCTTTGGGGGCTTCCGCAACCCACTCAAATAATTGGCAAAACATCGCCTCGCGCCACCTGGCCGGTTGCGGGCGCCCGAGTGCTGATGATGCTCGCCGGCTGGCCTCCTGGGGTCGTCCACGGCGGCCCCGAAACGGCTGCGAAACACGTGCGCTCTCGGACCCGCGCGGCCCAATGGAGAAACGAAGGTCGGATGAAGCAGGGTCGGCGGCACGGGCGGTTGTGGCTTTTTGCTTCGCATAGCTTGAATGGCTCGACCGAGCCAAGCTCGGAACTCACAGGACGCAAGCGCTCGGAGACTGAGCGCTGCCCGAGTTAAGGGCTTACGCCGCTGCCGCCGACCCCGCAAAAGCGGGTGAAGCGTCAAATTGCAGCGGTGCTGCAGCAACGAAAGCAGATGACGGACACCCAAAACGTCTCAGAAGGGCGACAGCAAGCCACGTGTCGTACGTGCGGCAACGGTTGTCGCAGCCAAGCTGGGAGTTCGGGTGAAGTCTGTGCACAAGCGACCCGATGGGCAGCCTTGTGCAACAACTCGATGGAGGGCTGAGCGCAGCACAAGCATGTGTGCGCATGTCTGTCCGAGGTGCAGCACTACCGTGCACAGTGGACTGGCATCCGGTCGCATCCGTGTGAAGCACCTGTGTCCTGCGTCCTGATGGCGTGCCCTGCGATTGCGTGGATTGGCAAGCATCGGCACAGAAAGAATGAAACGTGGGAAGGGCGAGGAAGTGAAGAAGGAATCAAAGGTGTGGGGAAAAGCGGCAGGGATGCCCCACGTGCAGAAGAGGAGGCGGCGCTGGAGGAGTGTAGCTCGGGTGGGTGGAGGGCTTAAGCGAGCACAAATGGGGGAGCTGGGCTGGGAACCCCGATAAAATTGAATCCAGGAAGAGTAGAGTTTCTGCAAAAAAGGGCCAAGGGGGGGGGCGGGGGAAGCAGAGCGGGGGGCGGAGCTGGGCTGGGAACAACTGTTGGGGACAGGGGGTGAGGCGGGGCAGAGGGCTTCACAGGGCGCTCGCCCTCATAGCGGGGTCGGCGGATTGAATGCTGTTGTGGATCGAAGTGGTTGGGTGCCTCGGAATGATCCAGACTAACACAGTGCTGAGCTTCTCGACACGGAACTGGAAAGTTTCGTATACCTTTTCAGCTGCTGCATGCATCTGTTCTTAAGTCTCTGAAAGCAGATTAAGAAGAACCTACAAGAAAGAACACGCCTCGCCTGCAGCAGGAAAGTATTTGAGCTTCAGCATGTAACAAGGGTGCAGAGAATGGAAGCTGCTGTTCACAGCAAACAAACAGAAAGTCTCTGCAGCATTTGTCAACGGCCTTGAAGATTGCAACATGCGAGAAGATTCTGTGCTTCTGTCTGTCCTATGAGACCATGCCTTCAGGTGCCCCTGGTTACTTCGCCTTCCCCGACGAAGGGTTTGGCTTCGCCAACGAAGGGCTTGGCTTCGGCTGGCCACTTGCCAGGTTTTGGAGGAGCCTTCATGAGTCAACTCGTGAGAATCTAGCGTCTGTCCAACTGCCGTATGTTGCTTGGTATAGTCTGCCATGAAAACTCCTGCCCTTCAGAAGCTACGTCCCCACAACGTTTCACGCTAGAGCATCCTTGAACACCTCCTACAACCTTGTCAAAACACGATGATCCGACTCTGTAAGTATCTAAGGCTTCAATGACTGATGGGCCTTTTCTCCCGATCCCGTACTCGACACAATCCTTTTAGGATTCGGTGGAATCTAGACAGACTGTCGTGGGGCACGGGCAGCAGTAATTGTCACAGAAGTGATAGTGGCCGCAGGAGAAGCGAACAGACCAGTAAGGGAGAAGACGTACAAAGATCACAACAACAAGGTCAGAATCCGAACCGCAGTAGTCGCAGACACCGGCAACTGACAAGTCGCCACCAACGCCACCACCAGCCACCGCCACTGGCACTGAAGCCACGCGCGTCTCCGTCATCGTGGCCGTCACCACCCATCACCACCCATCACCGCCGCCACCACCACCAGCAGCAGCATCATCATCATCATCATCATCAAAAATCATCATGCTATCGGTATTGTCATCGTTTACTTCTGCTCTTGTGAGGGCCACTTTGACTTTTGTGAGAGGCGGAATCTGCACGCGGGTCCTGTCCCCCCTGAGGCGCCAGACCCGGATCGCCGCAGGGCGGCGGGAGCCCGGGCCACGAATGGTCGAGGCGGGTTGGAGGATACGCCGTTGACTCTTTGAGGCGGATTTCTCTGTGTGCCATTCTGTGCACTGCAGAATTCCTTTTGAGAGTTCCGAGCATCCTGACAGCGATCCTGCCAGATTGGATGAGAACCTCCGGCCCACTGCGGATGCTTTGCAGCTGAACTCGAAGCAGGCAGGTCAGACTCAACCTCTCCGAAGCCAGGATGTCCCCTAGCGAGTTCATGTTGAACATCGGCTGCCTGAGCAAACGTGCCGTTTCACAGGTCATGCTCCTCATTGCGGCCGGGGCCATAGATGACATGTGAGAAAGCTCTGTTCTTGGCTGCGAGGTGCTTGTCCCAAAACCCGAAATCTCTGACCTTCTCCTGAGAGTTGGTCCCAGGCACTCTGCGAGCTGTCGAAGAATCGAGCGCACTGGGCCCGGAAGCCCGATGAGACCTGGGGAAAGTTCCTTCAGGCGCGGGAGGCTGCAAGAAAGCCACAGTGTGAGCCGGAGCCCTTAAAACCCCAAACTCGAAACTCCTAAGCAACCCTTGGGCCCCTGATGAAGGAGACCAAAACCCTAAACCCTGCAGCGCTGTGATGTGGAGAAAGAGCCAGTACACTTAAAATTACACCAGCGAAGACCCCAAACAGAATGCATCGAATCATACCGGTTCGGGTTGGAATGTGTTGGATCCCAATCTGGCTTCGCCAGCAGATTTTGCGAAGAAGAATTAGTCATTGGGCGATATATTTCTGCGAAAGAAAAGTGGGTGGTGGGACTCAAGAATGTGGGAAGGTTTTTGGGAGGGTCCAGGGAGCATCGTTCAGAGGATCTTGCTGCAACACCATGCACGGAAAACATGCGCATTTCTCCCGCAACTGCCGCATGGTTGCGGCCTTTGCAAAACAGGATACCTGGCCTCTGCTGCAAACGTTCGCGGACGAAGTGCAAAAAAGCTTGGTGTTCGCTTCGGTTGGCTGTCGGACGGGAAGAAAACGAGAACTTTGCCGTGCATGTTTGGCAAGAAAGGTAGGAAGGGATTTGTCGGCTTACAAGGCAAACAAAAAGCTCTCTTAACACGGAACCATTCACGTTTTCTCTGCTGACCGAACGAAGAGCATTGTCCACAGGATTTTGTTGCCGCAGCAACCGCACAAAGAAAAAACGCAACTTCTCCACAATTTTCATAACATTACCGTTGTGCAAATCAGGATTCCATGCCTCCGCTGTAGACATTGGAGGAAGAAGCACAACAGAGGTTGCTATATGGATCGGTTGGCTGTCACACGGGAAAAAAGTGTGAACTTTGCCGCGCAATTTTGGCGAAAAGAAGAGCAAATGGGTTTGTCGGTTTACATCGCAAACACAAATCTTTCTTTACGCGGAACCATTCACGGTTTTGTCCGCACACCGAACGACGATCCACGGGATCTTGCTGCCGCAGCAACCACGCACGCAAAAAACACGCACAACATTGCCGTTTTGCTTTTGCAAGACAGGATATGTGGCCTCTGTCGTAAACGTTTGTGGAAGAAGTGCCAAACAAGTTGGTATACAGATCGGTTGGCTGCCACACGGGAAAAGGTAGGAACTTTGCCGCGCAAGCTTGGCAAAAAGAAACGCAAAGGGGTTTGTCGGCTTACATCGCAAACACAAATCTTTCTTTACACGGAACCATTCACGGTTTTGTCCGCAGACCGAACGACGATCCACAGGATCTTGCTGCCGCAGAAACCACGCACGGGAAAAACACGCAACGTTGCCGTTTTGCGAGACAGGATATGTGGCCTCTGCTGTAGACGTCTGTGGAAGAAGCGCGAAAGGTATACAGATCGGTTGGCTGCCACAGGGGAAAAAGTAGGAACTTTGCCGCGCGAACTTGGCAAAAGGAAACGCAAAGGGGTTTGTCGGCTTACATCGCAAACAAATATCTTTCTTTACACGAAACCGTTGAAGATTTTCCGCCGACAAAACGAAGAACGTCGTCCACAGGATCTTGCTGCCGCAGAAACCACGCACGGAGAAACACACAAGTTCCCCTTTACACGGAACCATTGACGATTTTTCCGCAGACAAAACGAAGAACGTCGTCCACAGGATCTTGCTGCCGCAGAAACCACGCACGGAAGAACACACAACCTTCCCACAACTGTTACAACATTGCTGCCGTGCAAGACAGGATACCGGATACCTGGCCTCTGCTGTAAACGTTTGTGGAAGAAGCACAAACGAGGTTGGTTTACGGATCGGTTGGCTGTCGCACGGGGAAAAGGTAGGAACTTTGCCGCGCAAACTTGGCGAAAAGAAGACCGCGCAGGGGTGTGTCGGCTTACACGGCAAAATACATATCTTTTTTTGCACGGAACCACTGACGAATTTTTCCACAGACCGAACGAAAAACTTCGTCCACAGGATCTTACTTCCGCAGAAACCACGCACGGAGAACACACACACACACACACACCCACATAACTTTCCCGCAACTGAGTTAATCCGACCCTCAACAGCAGCACAACGATATTGGGGTAGGATCGCCGGGCAAGGCAAGGAAACCCAAAAGGGAAACCCAGCCCGAAGAGGAACACAAGCTGCAAGCGTACGTCTTTTCTCGTTACTTGAGCCAAAGATCATGTCATTGGCACATTAAGCTACACAGTCAGACATGTTACCTATACAAGGACAGGGAACGTCGTATTCGATCAACTAACTGTTACAACATTGCTGCTTTGCAAAACAGGATACCTGACTTTTGCTGTAGATGATTGCGGAAGAAGCACGAAGCAGGTTGGTATACGGATCGGTCGCCTGTCGGACGGAGCAAATTGGGAACTTTGCCGTGCAAACTTGGCAAAAAGAAGTGCGAAGAGGTTTGTCGGCTTCTAAGGCGAACGAAAATCTTCTTTTGCACGGAACCATTGACGATTTTTCCGCAGACCGAACGAAGAGCGTCGTCCACAGGATCTTGCGGCAAGTTTCCCGCTAGTGTCACAACCTTGCCGTTTTGCAAGACAGGATACCTTGCCTCTGCTGTAGACGTTCGTGGAAGAAGCACAAAAGAGATTAGTATACGGATCGGTCGGCTGTCGAACGGGAAAAACGGGCAACTTTGCCACACAAACAAGGCAAAAAGAAAAGCGAAGGAGTCGGCTTACATCGCAAACAAATATTTTCCTTACACGGAACCATTGGCAATTTCTCCGCAAACCGAACGAAGAACGTCGTCCACAGGATCTTGCTGCAGCAGAAACCACGCACGGAAAAACACACAACTGTTACAGCATTGCTGCCTTGCAAGACAGGATATCGGATACCTGGCCTCTGCTGTAGACGTTTGTGGCAGACCAGGCGACCAGAAAGGAAACATTAAGGGAACCCTGCGGCCCGCCCGTCCAACCCAGGAGCCCAGAAACGAAACATGAAGGGAGCCCAATAAAGCCCAGGTCCTTTGCCGCGGCCCACCCGTCCAACCCAGGAGCCCAGAAAGGAAACATGAAGGGAAGTGAATGGGAGCCCAGGTCCTTCGCCGCGGCCCACCCGTCCAACCCAGGAGCCCAGAAAGGAAACATGAAGGGAAGTGAATGGGAGCCCCTTCGCCGCTCCAACCCAGGAGCCCAGAAAGGAAACAGGAAGGAAACCCAATTGGCAGCCCAATCCCTTTGCCGCGGCCCACCCATCCAATCCAGGAGCCCAGAACGGAAACATGAAGGGAGGTAAACGGAATTGCCGCGGCCCAAGGAAACATGAAGGGAGCCCAACGGGAGTCCAGGTCCAACCCAGCAGCCCAGAAAGGAAACATGGGAGCCCAGGTCCAAACCAGGAGCCCAGGAAGGACACATGAACGGAACCCAATGATAGCCCAGGTTCTTTGCCGCGGCCCACCCGTCCAACCCAGCCCAAAAAAGAATTGCAGGGAACTGAATGGGAGCCCAGGTCCTTCGCCGCGGCCCACCCATCCAACCCAGGAGCCCAGGAAGGAAACATGAAGGGAACCCAATGATAGCCCAGGTTCTTTGCCGCGACCCACCCGTCCAGCCCAGGAACCCAGAAAGGAAACATGAAGGGAACTGAATGGGAGCCCAGGTCCTTCGCCGCGGCCCACGCGTCCAACCCAGGAGCCCAAAAAGGAAACATGAAGGGAGCCCAACGAGAGTCCAACCCAGGAGCCCAGAAAGGAAACATGAAAAGCCCAATAGAGCTCAATGCAGCCCAATGGGAGCCCAGGTCTTTTGCCGCGGCCCAACCGTCCAACCCAGGAGCCCAGAAAGGAAACATGAAGGGAAGTGAACGCGGCCCACCCGTCCAACCCAGGAGCCTAGAAAGGAAACATGAAGGGAAGTGAATGGGAGCCCAGGTCAACGTGAAGGGACGTGAATGGGAGCCCAGGTCCTTCGCCGCTCCAACCCAGGAGCCCAGAAAGGAAACATGAAGGGAGCCCAATATCAATAAAGCCCAGGTCCTTTGCCGCGGCCCACCCGTCCAACCCAGGAGCCCAGAAAGGAAACATGAAGGGAAGTGAACGCGGCCCACCCGTCCAACCCAGGAGCCTAGAAAGGAAACATGAAGGGAAGTGAATGGGAGCCCAGGTCAACGTGAAGGGAAGTGAATGGGAGCCCAGGTCCTTCGCCGCTCCAACCCAGAAGCCCAGAAAGGAAACATGAAGGGAGCCCAATGGGAGCCCAGGTCCTTGGCCGCGGCCCAACCGTCCAACCCAGGAGCCCAAAAAGGAAACATGAAGGGAAGTGAACGCGGCCCACCCGTCCAACCCAGGAGCCCAGAAAGGAAACATGAAGGGAGCCCAATGGGAGCCCAGCCAGTTTGCCGCGGCCCAGCCATCCAACCCACCGCGGCCCACCTTTTTCCTGAGGAGAGAACCCCAAACCGTACCTGTTTGGGGAAAAAACCTTAAAGCCTGGGAAGAGGCTCTCCATGAGATCCTCACAGAGTCGAAATCACGGCCGATGTTACCCGCCGAGGTGCGGGGGCAGCTCTGAGGGATTGTTTGGGGTTCATGGGTTTAGGTTTATCGGGTTACAGGGTTGTAAGGTTCTAGGGTTTTTAGGGTTTTAGGGTCTAGGGTTGAGGTGGTCGGGTTTGGCGGGTTCAGAGATCAGGATTTGCTGGGATTTTACGATTTTTGGGTTTGGGGTTTAAGGAGTTTAGGGTTCCTGTGTCCGAAGTTCCGGATTTCGGATTTCAGTCTGAAGGGTTCAAGAGTTTAAATTAAATGAGTTTAATGCTTTCAGGGTTTCAGGGTTTGTAGGCCTTTCGGGTTCAGGGATGTGAGGGTGTGGGGTCAGCCGAAAGTTGGGCGAGTGAAGGGCCCTGCCCGGTCTTTGCATGTGCGCTGATGTGGTCGGCAGGAGATCCGACGAAAGTAAACTTGAAAACTAAAATCATGCATCGGAGGCGTGGTATGAAGTTTCCCGATGGTACAGCTCACTATCGGACTCGCGGCTGACGCAGCTGCTGCGAGCCGTGGGGGCCTCATCGTCTGCTTCTCCTGCTCCAAACATTCCCGTCCAGTCCAGTCCAGATGTGGCCACTGCAGTCCCGAATACGTTACGCTTTGTTATGGTGTTGTCACCTGATTCACCTGCAAACTAGACTAGACTCGAGAGCGCCTGTTTAAAAGTTCATGTTGTATTAACAAAAGCAACAAACACGAGGCGATGGTCTTCCACGGCTGTCCCAAGCCCAAGGAGGCTTTGCAGTTGGCCAACCTTTTGTGGCCAAAGGCGGGCGAAAGCGTTGACTGGAGCTTCCGACAGTGCCGGATCTCCTGATGCAGGTTCCTGGCGCTGTGAAAGGCATCGGAACCAAGGCAGACAGAGTTCTGAGTGCATAGATCTTCCGATTCTTTCTAGACTCAGCGATCCAGGCCAGCATGCCCACAGTACTAGGAACGAGGACTCAGCCCTTTGCTTCACACCGGATTATTCCAGCAACATGTCTCTTCTTTCCAAGACTCGAGGGGATGCTGCCTGCGCATCGCCATTGCATTCTGCTTTTCTCCCTGCCTTTGCTGCAAAACTCTTGCCGAGTGGACGATGGAAATGTCTCATCGCCGTCGTGCACTTGGCAAGCAGCCTCAACAAGAGTTTGTTCTGGCGGCTAAGGCACACTAAAATGGTGTTGTTCCAGCTAGCCTTTTGAGTACCATGGTGGCTTGCATTTGGTCATTGTCGGCTGCCATGGTGCAACATTTTCGGACATGCATCACGAGTATGCGCATTGCACGAATGCCGGTGGACGCCTTCCAGGATACTTGAGCAGGGTGGCTGCAGCCTAAACCACTGTTGGAACGCAGCTTGAGAGCTACGAATATTGCCATCTGGTTTCAGAGAGACCACATCAGTATCTGCTGTCATCTGCTGCCCCACCCCAAGCTCTGCACACCTCCACTGGCGACCCTGCAGACTTTGCCTGGCAATCTTCGAGACACCTGTCTCGGAGGGCTGGCATTCCAGGCCGCTGAGGCCCCGAATTCGTTATGGAGTCTTTGCCTCAGTTGCCTCATGCCGAGGAGGCTTCTTGCCAGGGGCTGAAAACAACTGACTGATCTGAAGCCATATGCTCCTTATCGCTTCCTCGGCAAGCAGATCAAATTGCTGCAGGGAAGACCCGCGCAGCAGGCAGCTGTACGTAGAATCCCAACTCTGTTCCTAGACATGCTGAACCTCAGCACGTGCCGGGAGCATGAGCAGGTACCGCGCAACACATATCCGTCTTGCCATGCTGCCCGGCGCACATTTTTGCAGAGCTTAAGAGTTTTTTGCTTGACACTTGTGCAAGTCTTTCAGCAGATCTCTCAATTCGGCGCGGCCTTTTGGAACCAAGATGTAACTAAGAAAGCAGGAATTCGCAAGGTGCTGACACCAAGATCTGCTCCCTTCGTAATTAGTGTGCGTGCTGGGTTGCTTACCCCGCGTGTCTGTCATCTCCATGCAACATGCAGCCCGGCATGCATGCTGCAGAAGCTCGAGCCGCCTTGCTTTCTTGTGGCTAACGTGAGACCGGTGGGAAAGGCAGATGTCATGGTAGAAGCATAAAGTTCATAAAGCTGGTTCTGGAACAGTTCGAAGTCATAGCAGCAGCAGAGATAGCATTGGGAACACAGTACTCGCACCGGTAATGGTAGCAGTGGTAGTGGTGATTTCTTATCATCAAAGGTTTTTAGTCGTACTAACAGTAGCAGTAGCAGGAGCAGTAGCAGCAGGCAGCAGTAGCAGTAGCAGTAGCAGCAGCAGCAGCAGCAGGAGCAGGAGCAGGAGCAGGAGCAGGCGCAGTAGCAGTAGCAGTAGCAGTAGCAGTAGCAGTAGCAGTAGCAGTAGCAGTAGCAGTAGCAGTAGCAGTAGCAGTAGCAGTAGTAGTAGTAGTAGTAGTAGTAGTAGTAGTAGTAGTAGTAGTAGTAGTAGTAGTATTAGTAGTAGTAGTAGTAGTAGTAGTAGTAGTAGTAGTAGTAGTAGTAGTAGTAGTAGTAGTAGTAGTAGTAGTAGTATACGTAGTATACGTAGTAGAATCAGTAGAAGTAGTAGTCGTAGTAGTAGTAGTAGTAGTAGTCGTAGTCTTAGTCGTAGACCGTGGCAGCTGTGCTAGTAGTGGTAGTAGCAGTTGGAGTAGTAGTAGTAGTAGTAGCAGTAGTAGTAGTAGTAGCAGTAGTAGTAGTAGTAGCAGCAGCAGCAGGGATGGTGGCCTTGGTCGTAGTAATGGTCGTAGTCGTTGTAGGAGTAGCAGTAGCATTTGCAGTAGCAGTCGCGGTATGCAATAGTACAATCCGACACAGTAGTCTGCACGACTAACGAAATGAGGGTTGGACTCGCCTTTCAACACCAAGACAAGGTGAATCTCGAGTGCTTTCGTGCGCATTTCTCCGTGCCAGTCTCCGTAGAGGAGTCCCAGTCTGCCAGTGAGCCAAAGGTTCGAAAGAGAAATTTTAAGGCTCTCTTGCCGCCTTGGTGCTGTCCGCTGTGCCAGAAGCTACTACAACCACCAAATATGGTTGTGGTGACATTTATACGGCTAGTCTCGGGCATGATTCGGTTTTACTGCCATGACAGTCTTTTTCTGAGATGCTGGGGTCATTCCGATGACTTTTGTCGCCAGTTCGGCTTTTCCTTCATGATTCGGCAACTTTACACCTGAATCTCGTCGTTGGGGCGAAACAGTCAGATATGGACGCCAATCCAAGCTACAAGGCATGATGACGCAAATGAGGGAATGCGCATGACCAATGTGAACACTACCATCCGAAGTCATAAGCTAATCAATAAAAGGAGCTATGTACATGTCTAAACTCCCAGTCCATTGCCGGAAAAGAATGTCATGAGCTTACCTGATGCTGAAGCAACTTGTTCTTCGCCCTTGAAGGCCACAACGGCCGACACTGTACATGGATTGCAGCAAAAGTCATGCTGCGAAGTCGATTTTGGGGCCTTGGGATGTGTCCGAATTTTTGAGTCCAGTGTCGTCCTGAAGATTAGTGAGTCAGGTGCTCGGGGGTGACAAGTTTGCCTACCAAGTCACCGGACCGACTGGGAGCTGCTGGCAAGGCTCGGGGGGATAGATATTATATATATATATATCTATATCTATATATACCTATATATATATATATATATATCTATGTATATATATATATATATACATATATATATATATATATATATATATATATAATATATATATATATATATATATATATATATACATATATATATATATATATATATATATGGGAGTTGATGTCCGTGGCTTTGCATCCAAGGGGCCCATGGGGCCCTGACTTTCCTGTCGCCTCGGCTCCCAGGCTCGCGAGGTGGAGTTTACCAGGATTTGGCGACAGAGCCAGAGCCCCAGTGCCCCAGAGCCCAGAGAGTCTTCCCAGCGACCTCTGCAAGCTTTTCCTGAAGCCAAGGATGGGATTCACCTACGAGTTGACCTACAAGCTGACTCCTGACACAGCTTCAGGGTTTTTTGAAACTATGGGAGCTCCCTGCGTGGGGTTCTTGATCCGCTTCAGTTTCGCTTTCAAAGTCGAGGAGGAGCGTTGGGATGCGGCAGTGCCCAGCCACGCGTTGGACGACTTCACCGGATAGGGCAGGGCTTCTCTTGGGCTGGGGTCTGTTACAAGAGGTCAGCAAAGTGATGCTTGTGCCGCCGCAATGCAGAGTCCGCCGAGGATCGATGGCTACTTCGACAAGAAGGATAGCAAGGTCGAGAAGAGCTGGGTGATTGCCCGAGCGAGGCGTGCACGTGCTGCCTTTCCTCACCGGTGTGGCTGCCACTTCTCAAAGCCAGACCTAAAAACCGGTGTAACTATCTCGAGCCCAACCGCAAAAGCAAAGCCAAAGGCTCAGAAGCCCTTGGATAAACACTAAGCCACTAAGCCTTAATTCCTATATCATATGGCCTAGTCAGTTCCTAGGGCGGAGCTCCTAAGGCCCAGGCCCTGAGAGCCTGAAATATCCATGGCTGAGGCCCTAAGGATCTGGTTTTCTTATAAAATGGAGTGCCCGGATAATCTTGATAAAGCCAATGCTGCTGTATACCATGATATATGATAGCGTACCATGGCATACCGCTTCTTTACCCGAAGCTGCGACAGATTTCTATAATATACCCTGTAAACTAGCCCAATGCTGAGGTCGAGGTGCAGAGCCCGGTAGGCCACCCTGTCCTGGACGAGGAGGCATCCACCTCCAACTCGGCGAAGGCCGTTCGCGGGGTTGAGGGTTTGAGAATTTAAGGTTTAGGGGTTAAGGGTTGGGGCTTCGGGGTTTAGGCGGTTCAGGGGGTTTCATGAAGACAAGCAAGAAAGATGTCAGCAAGAAGGTATCCGGGGACAAGCAGATACATAAGCCAGGCGAGAACTACATCTGTGTCGGTGGGTATGTGTAGATAGAAACGTATGTAAGTAGAAGTAGCCCTAAGCTGAAAACCCTGTGTACACACAATATATATATATATGTAGACATATGCAGGTATGTAGATGTGTACACTATATTTGTGCGTATATATGTATATATGTGTACATGTATATACAACCTCAGCCATATAGGCATACGTGTATGTAGGCGTATGTGTATATAGGTATATGTGTGTTATGTATATATGTATTCATGTGTGTGTACATATATGTATAAAAGTATATGTACATAGGTATGTATGTGTATGTGTATAAACGTATTTATGTATATATGTATATAAATACACACACACATATATATATATATATATATATATATATGTATGTACATGTGTATGTGTGTGTGTATGTATGTATGTATATATATATATATGTATATATATATATATATATCCGGGCCTGCAGTGTGACGCTTTCTGTGTATCTATATGTGTATGTGTATGTATATCATGTGTGTATGTGGCCAACCCGCATACGTTTACATATGTGCGCATATTTGGGTATATGTGGCTATGTATATGTATACATATATATAGACACAGGCATATACATGTATAAATGTAAGTATCAACCAACAAATATACATAGTCTGCGTTTTATGTATAGAGTTGTCGTATGTCTGTCCGCGTATGCTGGCAAGTACATGTATGTTACGGATCTTGTACCAGAGCTGCGTTGGACCTGTTGCTCCAGCCCACAGGAGCCCATCAAGGGCCAGTGGCAGACGAAAGGCCCCTACACGCACCGGCCCAAGAGAAAGGAATCATGACCAGTCGAGGATGTCCTTGGGCCCTTTCAGTTCGCGGTTGCTTTTTTTCCTCTCATGGCACGCTTCTCTCGACGCAGACCCAGACCAGCTCCCCCAAAAGCCCCCTTCAAGGTTCATCGCTGCCGGGAACAAGTCTCGGATCTTTTTCTACACCGGCCACGATCTCAGATCTTTACTCTCTAGGGCTTTCTTCAGTTTAGGGCATTTGTGCTTCATCAACATCTATACGAAGGGATCCTTAATTCTGAGTCTCGAAGTTCTGTGGCTCGTGGTGTCTGTGGATATGGTTTGGGGGACAAGGCGCCGGGCATCGTAACCTGGCCTGGAAGATCACCCCACATTCGTGCCTTGAACATGCCCAGCGACATGCCCAAATTTCTGTACGGCAGGTCTTGAGGCCACTCGCGCCTCGATCAGCAATTCCCCGCAACTCTGAAGTCGTGTCTACTGCAGAGCTCAGGGCCAGGAGTCACGGGAAAAAGCTCCTCTAGTCCTAGTCTGCTTCTAGAACCCAAAACCCTCAACCCTATAAGCCCCAAACGTTCAACCATGAACTTCGAAGCCTTCAGGTGGCACTGCATGTACCAGCATCGACGACGTGATCGTCAGGAAGACCAAGGCCATTTCATGCGAGTTAATTCCTTACTGCCAGGCCCTTGTAGAATCCTAAATGCGCCACCCGGATTCTGCTGGCAAGTCACTGCGAATTATGATGCTTGAGCTGGGCATCTGGCACTCACGGAATTGAGGAATTCCTGGTGATTCCGGGTGCACATGCTAGCAAGCAGACCGCCGGTTAAGGCTTAAATACGGACGGGCAAAGTGAGCAGAGACAAGCGGCACGTCTAGTTTTGAGCTAGGCTTCCTGTCACCAGCGCCTCACTCAAATGGCTGGCACCAGCTTGGGCAAGAGCCACACAGAGAACGCCCCATGTCAGGATCCCAAATACGTCGTGTACAATTTCGCCCATCTGATCAACGATGGCCACTTCATGGTGACTTGTCTTAGGCATCTTTCTGCCTCTAATCGTCTATGCAGGCGGAAGCAAACAAGGCATATGGAGTCAGCTCGCGCAGATTTCTGCAGCCATAAGGTCACCAAAGGCGCCTTTCCGAAAAATGCCTCCGACAACTCCAGCGATGGCAGCTCCTTGCAAGTGTTAAAGGCGCGTTGGGCAAGCGTTGGTCAAGAATTTTCTATACGGCACTTCAACCATGTCGTGGTACTTTACGGTGACCGGCTGTATTCCTACACAGTTACACGCAGATGATATGAAATGGAAGGCAGACCACACGTGCATATACATACATACGTAGGTACATATCTACGCATCTATCTACGTATCCGGCTATGTATTTATTTATCTATCTACTTACCTCTACTTTTTTATCTGCCTCCCACTGACCTACGTACATACATGCGTATATACATGCTGGCCTACCTGCCTACATGCCTGCCTACCTGCCTGCCTGCCCCTGCCTACCTGCCTGCCTACATGCAGGAAGACATGAGTACAAAGATGTGTGCGCACATGGGCACATATCTGTGTGTAATAGGATTGAAGGCACCGAGCTGGCAAATCGAACTGCACAAATGTCGCAACAGAGACTCTGTTTCTGAGTGCTGGCCGCTTGCATGTGTGCAATGCAATGCTGGTGTGTCGAGCATCATTTCCCGTGCAAGAATGCACCGTAAACCGTTTCGACTTGACTGCAGCACACAGCATGAGCACTTCTTTCTGTCAGAGCCTCAATGGGAACGGTTTGGGGATGAAGGGGTGTGGCCCGCGAACCGGCTCATTTTAGTGCAGGATCTCTGGCTAACCAAAGGCGAGTTGGAAAAGGGCCCACGCAAAAAAGCCTTGAAAACACTAAACTTCAGAACCTGAAGCCCTAAACTCCCAAAACCCCCAAACTCTAACTCCAAAACCCAAGAGCCCAAAACCCTCGACACCCTAGGCCCTAAACCCCTGCAGGACAACGTGGTGATCATGAAGCCGTCGGAGGCCACGGGATAGCTTCAAAGGTTTTTGGAGCCTTGTTCGGTTCTGCCCTTGAGACTCCGAAAACTTCCTCGAGGCTAACCAGGGTGTAAGAAGGTTTTGCAAGAGTAGTGAGGTTTTCCAGAAATGTTATAACATCTTGCCATCATCTTGCCATTTAGGGATTGAGGGTTCGGGCTTTAGGGAGAATCTGCGACGCCAATCTTATGGGCAATGCGAGCACACTTGGGGCGTTTGGCTAAGTCACTTTCGAGCTTAACGCAGCAAGCACCTAATCTTTTCGGTAACTAGGCTCCCGAAACCGATGACCTTTGCCAGAAAGCCGGGGACCAGAGGGAGGCGTCGCATGGAGAGAATGATCTCGATGCTTGGCCGGATGGTTACGCCCAAAGTTTGCCTGAAATCTAGAAGGGGGCGGGTCAGAGGTTTTTGGGGGGTCTCGTGTCGGCTTTCTCAGCAGTTTGCGAATCCATGATCCTGCTCTGGGAATGTCAGGGGCATCGGCGCGTCGGCTGTAGGGCTCGGACGGCCTAGTCATTGGTACCTACATTGAAGGATTCTAGAATGTGCCCGAAAACCCTACTCGAAGTATTCAGGCCCCTATGATTCTGATCCCTAGGATGTGAACACGCTGCAGCTCACGGGCGGTGGCTGCAGCCGCGTCTCTGGCTTTGTGAGGCTCCGGGGCCCTTCGGAGTCCCAAATCCGGTCTGCGAAGTGCCATGGGTCGCCAGATGTCGCCAGGTACACACCTAAGCCGCTGTACGAGTATGACGAGAAGGAGATGAAACGAGCCAGCACTTATCTCGTTCTGATCAGAGGAACGACGACCCTGCGGTCTGTTTCCTCGCATTGTTAGGATGCTGATGTCGTGAGCTCTTCATCCGTGAGTTTTGCAGGCAGTGCTTCTGGGTGCCAACCGAGGATGAATAGCAGCGTCTTAAGCAGTGTAACGCCCGGGACCAAGCTGTGGGGCAATGGCTGAATACTTGGCTCAGGACATTTCTTTAGGAATGATGCTGGAGGCGGGACTTTCCAGAGCACTGCCTAGAAGCTTCGCAGAGGTTTGAGGTGCAGGAGCCCATCGGCAATCCCGTCAATCCGCCCGTCAACATCGGCGTGGCCGGGCCCTCTGGGACCTAAGAGATCAAAGTCCCACAGGTCTTTGTCTCTGGGGGCCGTGGAGGCTTTGTGGAAACCCTCGCAAGTCTTAAAGCCGCGTGTTCACTGAGACTGGCGCGGTGATCAACGCCGTCTTGGATCCCTCGCCGGAGCACCTCAGAATCAGGCCGTTTGAATAATGAAGGCCCAGTCCTTGCTTGCCCTGCGCTCCGATCTCTTTGTCGCAGGGTGAAGAAAGAAGCCAGTGTGAAGAGCAATGACACGGACAATGTGCCAGAAGCCCAGCCCAGCGTCGGCTTCCGGCCTCTTTTGGAGGTAAGCCGTTAGAGATCCCTAAGCCCGAAGCCCTCAAACCCAAACCCCCAGCCCCGAAACCCCGAAGACCCAAACCGACAACCCTAAAGACCCGAACACCCAAGCTTCTCTGAGCCACCTCCCAGGGTCGAGGCCCAGCTCTACTTCTTTTGCAAGGCCGAGCGGCCTGCCGGGTGTCAAATCCGCTCGCTGGAGATGCTGTGATATTCGCAGGGCGGCGACCGCATGAGCTATCGTTCTGGATGGAAGCTCTTCACGTACCAGTTCGCAGGCAACTCCTGACTGTTCAGAGTTGGCAAACACAAGACTTGGGGGTGTGACCGGTGCCTAGCACAGGCAACGAAGGGCTCTGCCTCTCCATGGGGGCACGCGACAGCATGGGCATGGGTTGCCACGAGGTCAGCTGCAGGCCGGGAAGCTGAGAAACTTCCGTCGCTTTCCGGAAAGCTCTGGCTCTGCGAGAGCAGGAAGAACCCCATCAGCGACGCCAGCCTCCAGCCCTGCAATGAGGAGGCCGGGTATGGAACTCACGCTTCTGGCGCCCCGTCCCAGCCCTTCAGCTAGACGAAGCAAAACCCCATCTTCATGGACTGGCGCCTGCCAGTATGACGCTACTACAGATACGTCAGCTCACAGGACTGGGCGCAGAACTTCTACCCAGAGGGCCCATTGGTACGCTCGGCCTCGCCTGCGGAGCGCTGTGGGAGTCTCGGTGATTTCGGGCATGTATGTACTGAAAACTTTCAGTGGCAGTTTGGAGGATTAGGTTCCGAAAGCTTCTGGCTGTTGCCTGAGGCCGATTCGAGGTTTCCCTATCAAGAGAACTATTACCGCTGGTTCCGCTCCTCCTCTTCCTCCGCTTCCTCCTAGTTTCGGTATTTGTCCGACTCCTTTTTTGTCTGTGCTACTCTTGCTACGCTTACTACTTTTTTTGCTCTTGCTACTCCTACTATGCTACTGCGCGACGACGACGACGACTGCTACTGCTGCTACTACTACTACTACTACTACTACTACCACCACGAGCCATCAATGGGCATGCATTCCCCACGAATTGGGACAGTGACCTTGAGACCGCAGTGTTTCAGAATGCTATTCGAGACGAGCAGGCAAGAAAGGCATTAGCTCAGCTGTTGAAGCCCTGCACTGCCAGGGATATTGTTTTAGTACTTCCTATTTTCGAGTACGTTTTCCGCTCCCAGGGTCCGTGGAATGGCATGACAGATGCTACAAGTACAAGGGGTATCTGCGGGGCTTGCCACCTGGCAGAGCAACTTCGAGGATGAACCCAAAACTACGGCTCTACCGTTCATTACTGTTTTTGTTTGGCTCAGCATTGCTTTTCTCATCGGCTCGTCATGTGTTTGCAATTACTATAAGACTAAAGATGATTGTTCTTATTGTTGCTGCTGGGGTACTGTCATCATGTGCACTCTTGACTCATTTTCTGCCTTAGTGGGCGGTGACATCCTAGCGGAAGGCCAGAAGTCCATTAGGCTCGTGGCTCTGTTGTGGAGAGTCTGCATAGCGAAGCAGGCCGAAGACAGAAAAGCTGCCCGCGAGGTGAGGTCTGTTGTATCCGGATGTTCCAAAACCCCATAAACCCCCCAACAAAACCTAAGCCCGACCGCTAGCTTTTAAACCCTAAGCCCTAAACCTTAAAGCCTAAACTTCCTAAGCCATTTTTGGGCTTCCGCCCGATCTCCGGATCAGCGGCCCAGGTCTGGCCGTGGACTATTCCGCGCATGTGGAGTCGGGTGCTTAGGGGTTTAGGGCTTAGGGTTTAGGGTTTAGGGGTTGCTTTAGAGGGTGACTGTTAACGGGATTTACAAAGGATTACTTTAAGGGTTACTCTACGTGGTGCCAAGGGGTTCGGAGATAAGTCCCGGCTTTGATGGCTTTGGTCAAGATTTGGCAGTATATTCTGGTATACTACAGTATAGTTTATATTATAGGATAGTATAGTATAGTAAAGTATATCATGGTTTATTTTAGTTTATTATAACATATCTTATATTATGTTGTAATTTTTAATATATCATGGTACCGCAGCAGCTGAAGGTGGCCTTTACTCCGGGAGCTCCTTTGCCAAATGCGGGTTCGGGTGGAACGGCGTCTCCTCAAGCTAATAAGGTCTCCACTGAGGTACTATAATGTACCAAACTATGCCACAATACAGTATAATACACAGTATACCACAATATGCTGCACTGTTATATGCTCTACCACTACATAATTGTGCTATAATGATGCTCTCCGAGGCCTTGCAAGCCCATAACGCTGAAGATGTGCAACGAGTCGGACCCGGGGCAACGTTGGAGCATCGTTGGTGGAGACTCTGCCCAGGCCGGGCCTGTCTTTGTAGCATAGTGCAGTATACAAAAGTATACGACGGCAGATTGAAGCCATCATAAAGAATGTTAGATCATAGTATAACATAGTCAGTATTTTATAGCAGGTTTTTGTATGTTATCGCACACGAGACGATATTGTGCATTGGGAGGGAATCAGATGTTGGGCTTGAGGGGCTGTCGGCCATGCGTTTCGTCTTTGCGTCTGCGCTTGTTGCTCCCTCAGAGGCCACGCTCCAATGAGCCCATCTTTGCCTCTAGCTTTTCCAAGCACTGCCTGGAGCCCCGCATCACATAGTCCTGAACTCCAATCCAACCCTCGGCTTCCGCGACCACAAACTTCAACATCTTCAGCTCTCGAACTTCCGGAGGATGCGGCACTGTTGAAGATGGAGGATGGTCTGGTGGCCTCGACCCCGAAGGCCGTAGGGCCTAGTGTAGGGCCCTCCTTCGGAATTGGGGTAACCCCTGCCTTCAGCGTGCCGTCAAGGGGGGTCTGCTTCAGAGCTTTGGGGAATCAGACGCCTTGGGACGGTCGCCTCACCGGAGTCCTACAACTCAAGAAAGGGGTTTAGGATTTAGGGTTTAAGGCTTAGGGGTTAGGGGTTTAGGCTTTCGGGTTCGGGGTTTAAGGCTTGCAAGTGAAACCTCCCGCCAAAGGGGGTTGGGCTTGGGGTGTGCTAGATGGCAGGCGAAAACGCAGCTGGCCTCCTTCGACATGCTGATCCAGGTCCCGTTGCAACCCTGTCTGAGTGCCCAAATCCAGAACACACCCTCTACACACAGACACGCGCACACACATGTATACATATATGATATATGTATATATACATCTATATATACGTATGTATTTCTGCATCTATTTCCATAGCTGTATCGCTATCCCTAATCTCTATCTCTATGTCTCTATACCTATTTGCTTACGCCCATGGCGGTGGCGATATTTACAGGTTGCGAAAACACTGCCAGGCTCGAATTTCCCCAAAATTTGTAAAGCTGTAAATGCCAAACCATCGCCAGGCTTGAATTTCCCCCAAATCCCCAAAAACTCAACAACCATGGCCCCGCACTCCACGTAGATGCCTGGAGATTCGAGCCTGGCGATGTTTTGGCACTTCCAGCTTCGCAAATTTGGGTGAAATTCGAGCCTGGCGAAGTTTTGGCAATCCCGGATGCGAAAGCACTGCCAGGCTCGAATTTCCCCAAAATTTGTAAAGCTGTGACTGCCAAACCATCGCCAGGCTTGAATTTTCCCAAAATCCCGAAAGCCTCAGCAACCGTGACCCCGCACTCCCCACAGATGCCGGGAGTGTGGGGATTTTCGGGAAATTCGAGCCTGGCGATGTTTTGGCACTTCCAGCTTCATAAGGCTGGTATGGATCAAGACGGGGGCGTGACCATCCATTTCTTTATCGATGTCCACGTCTAGGTCTATGTCTGTATGTATATGTACACATGTATATCTACATCTACGTCTACAACTATCTCTAGATCTACAACCAGATCTAGATCTGTTTCTATATCTGAATGTATAGAGTGTGCGCACTCACCTATATGCATATATGTGCACATGTGTATATACAAACATTGCAGTAAGTGCAGCACGGCCACCAGAGCCTTGCACTACAACAGTACTCGCTTCCACATTCAATCAATCAACCAAGCAACCAATAGCAGTGTTCATTTGTATGTGGTTATCTTTTCTTCGGACGCTGTACAGGAAGGAATAACTATCTACATAGGTATTACATAAAGAAGTATATGTATGTGTGTGCATTTGCTTTTACACACAAGAGCAACTAGATAAGCAAGTTGGTCAACCAATTAGGTATTCTAATGGGCATGCGTCGCCAACAAACTGAAAGCGGCTAGGTAGCAGCAAGAAGACGGACAGACGGATAGTAGACAGATAGATAGTTGGCCTTATCGTCGCACAGAAAGATTGAGATGATGCTTCGCAGACAGACATATAGATAGACAGATAGTTAGGTAGGCAGATGACAGATAAAGAGGCGGGCGGGTGGGTACGTATGTACGTAAGTAGGTGGGTGGAAGGATACGCTGGTAAGTAGATCCACAACTACGCACATGCAGATGTAGACAAGAGTTTGTGCATGTGTATTAATATGTATGTATGTGCGTACGTCCGTTTGCATGTCTCTCTGTGTGTATGTGTGCTTGTAAAGTGGTATATGCATGCCTACTTTCTATGTGTATGTATAGACACACATGCGCAGGTGTGTGTGTGTGTGTGCGTGCGTGCGAGTGCGTGTGTGTGTGTGTGTGCTTGGTATGTTGACATGCATGTCTACATGTGTTTGCCTCGGTCTCCCCAAAGTGTCTTCCAACAGAAGCCCAATCTCGAACTTGGCCAGGCCTGTGACGAGAAGGACCCGCTTGACTGGTTGGAATCTTCGCACATAGAGTCGGGCACAGGCGCAGGAAGGAAGCGCTTGTTCAGGCGTTTAAAGGTCCTCCTATGTTGTTAACCGTACTCCTGCTGCTACTACTACTACTACTACTACTACTCCTACTCCTACTCCTACTCCTACTCCTACTCCTACTCCTACTGCTACTCCTACTGCTACTACTGCTACTGCTACTGCTACTGCTACTGCTACTGCTACTGCTACTGCTACTGCTACTGCTACTGCTACTGCTACTGCTGCTGCTGCTGCTGCTACTGCTACTGCTACTGCTACTGCTGCTGCTGCTGCTGCTGCTACTGCTACTGCTACTGCTACTGCGACTGCGACTGCGACTGCTACTACTACCACCACTACTACCACCGCCACCACGGCTACTGCCACCACCACCACCACCACCACCACCACCACCACCACCACCACCACCACCACCACCACCACCACCACCACCACCACCACCACCACCACCACCACCGCAGTCTTTTACTATTGCTGTTATTGTTTTTCTGTTGACTTCGTGCTCGGCCGGATATCAATTCGTCTTCACTGCTGTTATTCCGATTCAGGGTTTCCTGTTTAGTGCTTTCGAGCCTTGGAGCCTGGGAAAATGCGGGTTTGTCTTGCGTTTCGGTTCTTTTGGGGTTTGGGGGGTTTGGCGTTTTGGATTTCGCCTGGGACCGCACCTTCACCCTGAGTGACGAGGCAAAAAAGCCACCGCCCCAAAGCTCTGAACCCTCGGCGGTTTTTGATCAGGAGGTGGCGGCGGTGAAGCAGTGGAATCAGATCCCTTCCCCGACCGCCCCAAACTCGGGCGCAGATGGCGGTTTTGCCTGAGATCTGAGCCTAAACCCTCAGACCTGAAACCAGGGACAGTATGCGGCGGGAAAGGGCCACCATGATGCTATGACTGAATGCAGTCAAGACGTGAGATGAGGTGGCTGGCGAGGGTTGACCAACCAGTGCTTCCCACAAATGTGGTTTTCAACCGACTCGAGCTGAGCAGGTAGAAAAAATACGAAACATGTTTCTTCCGATTCGTCAGGGTACATACTTCTAAACCCTAAGGTTCGCGTTTACCTCAAGGCAGGCTCGATTTGTTGAGGTCGCGAGCCTGGTCATGGCCCATGAGCTTTCCACGAACTTCACGCAGAAGGCATCCGGAAGCGGCTTGGGTCGGCAAGCCCTGGCTTTACGGGTGGATTGTTGTCGCTGGGTTTGGGTTAGGGGCAGCAGGTTTTCTGGGTTGATTTTATCTTGAGAGTTGTTGGGATGGCGAGTGTCAAAACTTAGATTGTCAGTTCAAGCATGTTGTGTCAATTTATGATTCGAGCAGTTTGAGCGTGCTTTCTTCGCAGTGACTGTACGTGGCCGAAATCCCGTGAGCTTGCTGGAGTTCCGGGGTTGTGTTTTCAAAAGCCCCTCCGAGGTGGGGAGCTTTTGCTCTCGGACGTTTGGGCGGAGGCATAGCCTTTTTCGCAGTGCTCACAGGTCGGATATCTTCCAGGAAGTAAGAGCCGATTGCCTGCCAGTGCAAGCATGTGGCTTTGCTGGTCCTCTATCGCAAACTCCAGAACCTTGGCCCTGGAGAGGCGGATGCACAGACACTATGATCCGGAATGTGTTTGTATTAAGAGCCGCGCCAAAAAAGTATCGTGAACTTTGCCGCAAGCCTCGCCTGAACAGTCCTCGTGGCCCCTTCGCACCCAAATAACCGACAGGCGGTCTGTCCATGGTTCTTCAACCCGCCGCTCCACACGGACAGCCGAGAGCCCATCTTCGATTGTTGTTTCTTCGTCAGTCAGTCACGGAAATGGGGCTTATTCATGTTAGAGCTTCCTCCGTGGGTGTTTTCATATGGAGGATCAGGCCATGGAGGTTCCAACATGTTCTGAAGCTGCAAATCCAGCAAGAAGTCTCGCTCACGAGAGCACAGCATGGATCGCAACAGCACAGTAAGCTACACAATGAACTATTCCTTGATCGACAATTCTCACTAGCTTATCTTGCCCTAAAGTCGGGGCTTCGTGTTGTCATTTTGGCTGTTATGACCATATAGACTCATAGAGGCTCGCTTTGAAAAGCGTATATGTATGTATGTATGTATGTATGTATGCATACGTACATACAAAATACATACATACACACACACACACACATAGTTGACCGGCAAGCCCCTCATAAGCGGCATCCACTGGTAGAATGGTGCACGTGCTCTCCACCAGGTGCATCTCTAGAACATGGATCAACCGGGCAAGGATTACCGAAGCGCTCTCGAAGCACTCTCCCATCGCTTCTCCCGGGCAGAAGTGCGCAGCCCTGCAAGCTCTGCGCCGAGGTAAATTCATCAAGTGCTACAACAGTGATCTCTGCGACCCGGAAGAGGATGGGGAGCCTGGGGCCTGGTCGAGCCAAGTGCCTAGGCCGTCGGGGGTTCTTGCAAAGATGGTGTGTTGGAGTGCTACTGTTTGGAATTAGTGTCGGAAATCTGCATGCCGCGTTGGGGTGCAGTCCGCAGAAGCAGAAGAAGTAACGCTCGTGTTTGCAAATATGAAAAGGCAAGAGCACGTAGCGTAGCAGCACACTACTGTGCTTCGCCTGCAGTTGCGCTCTGTGCCTTCTGAAACCCCAAACCCCTACCTCGTGACCTGCAAAGCGGGGGGTCAGCTTGTTTTTTCACGGTTGGCGATCCCAGCCCAGGGACTGCTGCGCCACGAGAAAGGGCACCTTCATGTGTTCCTCGCCGGGTCCCAAGAATTCCGAAATCTTTCCAGCGATTGTGCATTGGAGAAGACTGCAGTCTATAATCGTTCGTCATGGTGCAAAAGTGTTCGCATACTGACGTTGAGATTAAGTCGGGAAAACACTGGTACTTCACTTGTAGCTTTATGACACAGGCACAGTAAGGAGCACCATTAAAAGTTATTGTATGTCATGCTGTGAGTCTGCATTGTGGTATAGTCAAGTGTATTAAAGTAAAATATGGTTTAGTATAGTTTAGTATAGCTATAGTTCAGTATAGTTTAGAATAGTTTAGTACAGCTTAAATAGTTTAGTATATAGTTCAGTTTAGTACAGTACGGTACAGTGTAGTACATGGCACTACAGCAGAGTACAGCACAGAACCGGGTATAGTAAAGTATAGTATAGTATAGGACGGTATAGTATAGTGTAGCATAGTATAGTCTAGTCTAGTATAACAGAGTATAGTATAGCATGGCCCGCACTTCACTTCAGTGAGGTCAGCGCCGTACATGTGCAAATCCAAGACCAACGGCAAGGCCCCGTCAGACTACTTCTGCCGCTCGGTCAGGAAGCAAATTCGGATGGCAGGGCACCATTTTCGTTGGTTTGCAAGGGCTTGAAGTTTATTCAAGTTTATTCGAAGAGCTCCGGAGGGGAAGGTTGTTTGTTCGGAGCTCAGGCGTCAAGGACAACGCCGACTGCGAGGAATACGACGGTCGCCGCCCGTGTGAGGTGGGCTGTCGCACTTGGTTACTCTTGAGAGACCGAGAGACCCGCAGAGCCGCGCCAGGGCCCTCCCGGTGACGAGGGCAGCGTAGGGGAACCCGGCGAGGATGGCCTGCCCGGTGAGGCGGGTTGCAGTCAGAACCGTGACAACAGGTAATCGTAGTCGCAGTAGCATCAGGAGTTTTCGTGGTTGTCGTCGAAACAGCATCAGGAGCAGGAGCCAGAGCAGGAGCAGGAACGAGGAGCAGGAGTAGGACTGCGAGTAAGAGTAGGAGTAAGAGGAGTAGGAGTAAGAGGAGTAGGAGTAGGAGTAGGGGTAGGAGTAGGAGCAGTAGAGATAGGAGGAGGAGGAGTAGGAGTAGGAGGAGCAGGAGCAGGAGCGGGAACGGGAATAGGAGTAGGAGGAGTAGTAGTAGTAGTAGTAGTAGTAGTAGCAGCAGAAGTCGAAGTAGAAGTAGAAGTAGTCGGTGTCGCAGTAATACTTATCATAGACTGCCAAAAGCGGCAGTGCTAATCGCAGGAATCGTATTGACAAAGATGGTGCGAGCTTGTTGTCGGAGAATTTAAGCGGCTGCCAGTAGCTGTCAGCCTAAACTGTTAAATCTATAAACCCCAAATGTAAGGTGTAGACCACATCCCCTCTCCGCTAACAACGATCGCATAAAGGTCCGAGCTTTTATAGCAAGTGGGTGTATAGATCTTAGGCCTGAACTCTAAGCGTTACTGCAGGTGCGGTAGACTTCTGACCCCGAGCTGCTTGTTCCAGGATGGCCGGACGGGAGACCCAGGAGTGGTCCCGGCCCCAGTCCACAGGATCTTGCGATTATCATGACTGCTGATACCGGCACGTTGGTTTTCATGGTTACCAATCTTACTATTATGGTATTTGCACAGGAATAGATATCAGTCCTCTTTGTTTCGATTATTCTTATTCTTATGTTCATTGCCGTGGTGCAGGGCGAGCCTCGTCTTGCACCATAATCTACGACAGTATTCTGCAATGTACTGTACATATATATATACACACACACACACACTGTCATATTTTTCAGCGGCGGCAGCAGCACACTATCATAGAATATGTCAAACATATGCTATAATGTACTTGAGTGGATTGTACACCCTAGGTCAAGGAGGCCGCGCCACCTTCGCTTTCGCGCGAAGGGGCCAAGGCTTTTTTGGCACAGGCGCATGGCCGCATGGCCTTCCTTACGGTGTCCAGAGTTTAGGGTTTAGTGTTCAGAGTTTAGGCTTTCGGGTTCAGGGTTTAGGGTCCGGTGTTTTCAGGTTTTTAGAGTTGATGGTTCAGAGTTTAGGGCAGGGTTCCAGGCTTGCCGTTCAAGGTTTGGTTTTCGGGGCTTAAGGTTCGTGGTTCGGTTCAGGGTTTCGGACTTGAATCATGAACTTTCTTGAGAGCATCGGAAGAACTGCGGAGCGCCGGATGGAATGCAAGATGAAGAGGCGCTTAGGTCTAGCTCCTCAACATCAAACCGGATCCAAGGCAAAAACCCTGACAGGAACCCGAGATTTCTCAATCTCCACGTGCTTGCCAGGGTGCCTCTCCGGCAGAATTGGCCGGCCCGGCCCTCGTGTAATCACGAGGAAGTTTCCGCGAGCGCTGACAAGCTTGGCATAGCTTGACAGGACAACCTCTTGGCAGCATATTGGTCCGATTGCAAAGGTACATGAAGTCATCTTCGTCGTTTCGCGTCATTTCTCATCCAGAATTCGCTAGCTCTCGGTACTTGAAGCACCTTGGAATCTTCACACGGGCAGACTTGTGTGTTCACTGGCTTGCACCTAGAGCGGGGAATCCCTCTGTGTAGTTATCCATGGGGGCTCCTCGTTGTTGCTTTCAGGCGCCGTGGCTCTGAACTGCATGCTGTCCCTGATCGCATTCGGCAGCCTGCGGGCCCGCTGCGCCTGGTTGCCAGGGGTGATGTGTGGTCTTTGCTGAATCCTATGGTTGCTCGATTTGGCATGTGGAATGTAGACTCCTACGATCTTCCCGCAAATGCTCTGTCACCGGGTAGTGCATCCACATGCATCAGCATTCCGCCGCCGTCGTCCTATTTTGGTATGTCTGAGCTGCAAAAAGCCCTGTCGAAGCCTTGCACACAGAATCTGAACTGCAGTGGCCTGCTCAGCTAAACAGCCGTGACGCCAGGGCAAGATCAAGGATCGCATGGATGGCAAGGCTGGCTCTGCCAGGACCACAGCGGGGCTCGGGAGCATCCATCTCGGCATCTTCGGGGTCTTCGCTGGACTTTGAGGGAAGAGGAGGGTCTGCTTGCGGTTCTGGGGGCAGGATCCCTTACAGGAGATCCTCATTTCCGAAACCGTTCTACCTGAAAGCGCCGGAGAAACTGCTCACTGCAGGTCGCACCACAGAGGCACCTGCGCTTGCTTCTGTACCCAGCAAGGAGTCCTGTGTTTATGTGCTCCGCTCGCAGATAGGATAGGAACGAGCAATCCGCAGTAAAGCTGCCTCTTGTGCTTGTAACAACAAGAGATCTCATCCTGATGACCTCACGAGTTGCCGGTTCAGCAGTTGCGATTCCTGGACTCACGACTGCAGCTTGGCCAGGGCGTGACGCGTTCAGCGAGGACTCAGGACCCCCTAGTCACTCTAGTCTCCTCGGTCAGCTCGATTTAATCGTAGCTGCGGATCTCGCAGGCAGACCGTTCAGAAATCGCAGTTGGGAGAGAGATGCGCGTGAGAAAAACTGCCGAGCGCCACTCTCGGAGAGTCAAGCAGACTGCAGATAGTCTGGGACCACAAGAAGCATATTAAATTCAATATTCAGCTGAAGCATCGGATTGGACGTCCTGGCTAGCACACCGGAGGACACATTTGCACGCCTGACCTTGCTGCCAGCAGAAATGTTGACCTTGCCAGGGGACAGAAGCAGGGAAGCAAGCCATTTTGTTGCTAGCTGCCAATAGCCCAACATGTTCTCAAACATCGCCACATCCTGGTATACAAGACGATGCCACGTCGACCATGGTATGGGAGGTGCGGCCCTGGCATGGGCCCCAGGAGCCCGGCTTAGGGACCCTTATGGCCTGAGCCCAAAAGGCCCCAACCCCCGAACCCGAGAGTCGCAGAAGCCGCAAGTTCCGCTGAAGGCCTGCATCCCACTCGCTGCCGGGTGGTCTTTGTCCCAATCCCAGAGCTTTTGCCGGAGGGGATATCCAAGCTCTTGTCCATTGCTGTACGTAGTGAGTCCCGTACACTGTAGTAAAGTACAGGATGTTCTCACATTGTTATGATGAAGGGTGGTTTGTTATACTGCTATACTGCATCACAGCGCCAACACGGCACGTCATACGGTGCGGTTGCTCTGGTGCCTTAGTTTCGTTTGTAGTACGGCAGATTGTTATAGAATGTTACAATTCTCTCTGAGATTGTCAGCAGCGGGTTCTCGGGTTCCGATTGGTTGTACGGTCTTGCAATGGCCCAACATGACCCACACAGAAGAAGTGTTTCAATCTCCTGCGCATCGGGACTGCGCCCTAAATACCGAAGGCTTTGAAGTCTACCAAGGCTGGGGGAAGAAGCGCAGCGCCTCGAAGAGAGCGAGCGTCCTGCTCTAAGTGCACCTCGGAATCGCATGCGTGAACCTGCTGAGAGGCAAGGGCAAAAACCCAACCCCCCTAGTCTCTACCGTAGACGCTCAATATCCATGAACCTCAAGCAGACCAGGGATCTTCTTCCATGTCTTAGACTTCTATGCTCTGCAGGCTGGTACTGGTCCGAATGCCACGGGCAAGGCGCTCTTGGCAAACGGGGCTGCGGTGGTTTTACGAACTTCTTTCGTGGAGTTCATGGTATGCATACAGATATAAAGACGTATATGCATATACTATATATAGTATATATATACACACATACTGTATACATATATACATGTATACATATAGACATATAGACATATAGACTATACATATAGAACATATAGACATGTATATATATATATACATACACACATATATATATATATATATATATGACATATGTACATATAGACATATACATATATATATATATACATATATACATATATATATATATATATATACATATATACATATATACATATATATATATATATATATATACATAGATATAGTACATATATATATATATATACATATATATATATATACATATATACATATATACATATATACATACATACGCATATACATATATACATATGCACATATATACATATACATATATACATATAAACATATATACATATGTACATATATACATATATACATATATACATATACACATATATACATATTTACATATATACATATATACATATATACATATATACATATATACATATATACATATATACATATATACATATATGCATATATACATATACACATATATACATACGCATATACATATATACATGTATACATATATATATATATATATATATATATATATAGATATACATATATTTTATATGTATATACATACATACATGTATATATTTCTATATGTATCTAGGAATGTACGGTTCAATCGATGCAGATATGTTTGCATATAGATATACACGCACATTTATGTGCGGATCGACAGGCGCGGATGGACGGTTAGGTCGGTACATGGATGGATAGATGGGCTGATGGGGGCATTGAACGGGGATGGAAGGATCAATGAAAGCATAGACAGATCGATCGAGGCATAGATAATTTGGTACAAGTGGCAGGTAGGTAGGTAGAAACCCAGAGCTTCGAAAGCGCTAGGCCCTGGCACCTGGACCCTAAAACCATGAACCCACAAACCCTCGAACCCCTAAACCTAAAACCCTTAAGCTTAAACCCTGCCGCGGCAGAGGCATTCGAAGGCCTCGCTTCCTGGACTGCGAAGGAGGGAGCTGGGCCGGGAGCCAAGAGTGTTTTCTAGTACCACAATACACTATAATCTACTCTAATATAATATAATATAATATGAAAAAGCAGTAACAGACTGTAACAACATCATAATCCGCGATACAGAAATGCCATGCTATACTGCATTGTAACACTTATGTCAGGTCAAAACACGTCACGTCAAGTCATGTCATGCGATGTTTCGTAATTTTGCGTTATGTTGTGTTGCGTTGTTACAGGATGGTATGGTATTGTAAGGTAACGTGCAGTAAGTTTTCGTGTCATGGTGTCCTAAGGCTTGTCATCTGAAACTATATGCTGCAGCACGTCCAGTTAGGTAACAGTACATCGTAGTACGTAAAAATGATGCCTTGATATACAAATGCACAACTGCAAATAGCAAAATCATACATACATACATATGTTTACACACACGCAAACATAGAGTTTTTCCGATCCCTTCACCGCTCAGGATCCTTCCTGGGCCATCTTTCGGAAACGACTTCAGGAGGATCCGCCAGGTGTGGTGGGGTTCGGGGCAAGCACCCCGTTGCGACGATTTCGCAACAGTAAAACGGGTTGTTCATGCGCAGTAACAGTAGCGAGACTGATAATGATACCAATAGACATCGTCATAATCCATAGCAGAATTGTGAACTTCTCTTCATGCATGCATAACGTAGACTGACAGATGGATAGATAGATACCGGGGTATGTAGAATGAAAGCTAGGTAGATAGTCGGGTTGGGTAGGCAGAAAAAGCACAGTTCATCGACAGTTCCTTTTTGAGGCCGACAATTGCTGGAATCCCGGCCCCCTGGTGCAGCAACTGCGCAGCTGGCACAGCAGTCAGAGAGCTCAGAAGCCGGAAGGCTTTCCGGGTTCGTTATAAGGGTTAGTTCAAGGTTAGTCTAAGCTTTGCGAGTCGGGTTACTACAAGGGATGGTGCTGGGTTCTGATTATGGCTATTAATGGGGTTGACGGGCAATTTCCGTTTCGTGGGTCTGCGGCTTCGGTCTGAGGTTAGAATAGGGTTCAGGCTCAGGGTGCAGTTTCGGGTTAGGGTTTGAGGTTATTTATGGTTTAGGGTTTCGGAGCCCAGTGCCTCTGATGTGGTCCCCCAGGCTTCTAAAAAGCTGGACGGGCGAGATGGAGGTGGAGCCGGATCCTCAGCCTCTTTCATGTGCCGGGGGCTTCTTAGTTTAGGAGATCCGTAGAGGCGGGCGGGTCGAAGAGATCTCGTTTGGATCTGCCCTCTACACCTGCTGATTGCTTTCTTGCGTTGTCCTCCATAACTTAACTGATGCAAAGAAGAAACCATTATGGCGGAAGGTTACTAAAGTTGTAAACCTGATGTCGTTGCCGCTGTTGTCTACAGCTTCTTCTTGGTCGGCTTCGTCGTGTCAGACTCCGACTTCAGGCGGGGCCATCTTCTCTTTGCACGCCGCCTCGCGCGCGACCTGGCATCGCCCGTGAGCCAAGGCCAGATGTTTGGGAGAGTTATGCCTTAGGATGTGAGCTGTGCAATGAGAGTTGAGGCGAAGTTGGTTCACTGGTGCTTGAAGTAAGGCGAAACTAGTTCCCTAGAGTCAAACCTTGGAGGCGACGCAACGCCTACATACGTCCACCCGGCAGGCTTGGTGGATGCGATGATATACGTAGCACTGCTAAGACCTCCAGCAGCTGCATCACAACCTGCAACCCCCACTTGCAACTCTCAGCCCCCGAAGCACCACAATCCCAAATTCCCAAAATCCCTGAAACGAACCCCCTTAACAACACAACACGCTTGAACCACCGAAGCAGCCCTAAATCCAACAACCCTAAAACCCTAAGTTCCCCTAAACCGAAAACATCCTAAATTCGCAATCCCTCAGCCCTGAAACCCAAAGTTCTACTAACCCCCTATAAGGCCTCAATCCCTAAGAGCATTGGGGCCAGGATGAGAGCAGCGTCGGACCGGATGGCTCCTTGACGACAGGAAAGGATTGTTAAATTATGATAGTTTGACGCCAGCAAAGGATTGTCAATTACGGTAGTCTTTCCTTTGTCTTTACGTCCTTGCGTTTATATGCTGTTGTTGGGCATAGGCTTAGCACTTGTTTTCACGATAGCAGAAGTTGTCGAGGTTTTGTGTGTTTGGGGTCTATGGTTGATTGAACAGTTTTGAGGGTTTGTAGGACTTTCGTCGTAATTGGGGTGGGCGTTTTTGCGCTTTTTGAGTCTCTCCTCCGATGAGAATAGGGGTTGTTTTGTTCTACTTTTGGGTATCTGTTGCGGGGTCTTGATCGCAGCGGGCGAGCATGGGCTTGGTACAAGGGGCGCCAGTCTGTGCAAATTTGCGCTTCGCAGGGACATTTCTCAGAAGCTTGGGTGATGATTCATGCGGGACATCCCCGCGCGATCTGACAGAGCTTGGGCGGGCATTCCCAAAGCAGGCAGCACCTCAAACCTAAACCTGCACTCCCCAAAACCCAAAACTTAAAATGCTACTTTCTCAGAGCCGGGCTCCCGGGAGAACGGCCGAGGTTTCATGAGTGATTTCGCCTTCGAGGGCTTCTGCCTCTACGGGCGGGAGCCTTGAGGGTACAAAGGGGGGCAAAGCTTCTTACTTGGGCCGGAGCCGTGGCGTGAGCAGAGTCGGGAGAGACCTCGGCTGCGAATACTTCGGCTTTGGAATGTGGGGATGTTTTGTTTTTCTTGAGCTATGTAGCATGAAGCCAGATTCGCTATAACCTCCCTCATGCCCTCCTTGCGCTTCCACCAGGCTCGTCGGTGCTCTCTTCGCCATTGGCTCAGTCAGATGCAAGGGTTGCGGCCGACCTGACCCAGGTTGAGGCTCGGGTTTAGCCTGCTTTCACGAGGCTTCAGTCTCGAAAGGTGCCCTTGGAGGTTAGCTACAGAGCCGGGCTGCCGGGCTTGGGTCCTTTGAGGTCCGAGCCGTGGAGCTTCTGGTGGCACCCACTCAGGTCGCGGTTTCGGGGGTGGCCGGGCACAAAGGGGAGTTTTAGGGCAATCTGGGTGGAGGTGTCAGCAAGGACTGTTTTGGGTCCATGGATACCGAGGAGTGACGTAGGCTCCCTGGAGGTTCGGAACCCAACAGAAACAGCACAAAAGCACTTTCATGTTCAAGCCAACACAACTTCGTAACCCCTCGGCCGGGCTCCTGAAAGCATCGGTCGTTTCAGCACGAACCGATGAACGTCCTGGCCAGGAGAGTGTCACTATGGCATTGACCGGGGTGAGAGTCGCGGACCTCTCGCGATTATGGGAAGCCCCTGAGCTCGTTCACTCCGTCGACGTGGTTGCTGAAGGAAACAGGCGTAATGAGTGTTCTTCCAGGTTGGGCGCCTGGCCCTAGCCCTAGCTGGTATCCTGAAATGGCAGTGCAGGGCATCTGCTGTAGAAGGATCTATCGCTTTGGGCCCGTTTGTGTGCCAGGCCCTTGGGCTCTTCGGTCCAGTTTCGGAGCTGTCCTTCCTGGAGAACTCCTGCTGGCCCGCCGCCCGACAGTGGTGCGGATACGTCCTGATCTGATGCCGGGGGTTGGGGTGAGAAACATCGCTTCAAGAGATGGTGACAAGGTGTTGATTTCACTGACTGTCGGAAGCTCCTTTACTCATAACTCCGATTTGCCTACAGCCTGTTGGGCGTGCCCAGGCCCTTTACCTGGCTGGAGCTGCGTTTGCTGGTGCACCGACAGGGATGCGTCAGGGGATTTGGGAAGTATTGTAGGATCATGATACCAGTGTGTGTGTGTGTGTTTATTTATTTAGTGTGTTTTGTTGTTGCCAGGTAGTAGTCGTAGTAGTAGTAGTAGTAGTAGTAGTAGTAGCAGTAGTAGTCGTAGTCACAGTCGTAGTCGTAGTCGTAGAAGAAGAAATAGAAGTAGTAGTTTAATACTGCTGCAATAGGCTACAATATTGTTCGGTGGACGTCGTGCTTTCGCTCGCCGAGCCGTTTTGCCGAAGAGACCTCACCTGAATCCCTGCTAGGGCGACAAATTGACAAAGCAAACGGCCAGAAATTCAATAGACTACAATACAACATAACTCAGTCTAAGATAAGATGATAATGTAAGATAAGGTGGTACTCATATATGCACATGTTGTTATACTGTATTGTATTACAGTATCATTGCAAACATACATATGTTATGCTATATCATGTTCTATTGTATTTTACTATATTATATGCATGCCAAACCACACACACATGCGTACATAAACATGTTTTCGCATGGATCGTAATGTAGTGTAATGTAATGTATATGTAATGTTTTCTCTAATGCAATGTATGTCTATATGCATGTAACAAGGGATGACGGAATGCGCCAGGAAGAAGGGCTGGTGAAGGCGCTGTCAACGCCGGAGGCCGGTCCGAGCTCTGGGCCAAGATGTGCCGGCCAGTAGAGGGTTGGTTTAGGGTTTAGGGCTTAGGGTATATATACTCCTGTTATGGAATTAAAGCCCCAAAACCACAGCTGCAGGAGGTTGTGGTTGTGCCCACCTGAACCGCTTTGAAGCAAGCGATGTAATACCAGTCGAGTGCTCCAAAGACTTGACCAGATGGAACCCCACTGGCGCCAGCCATTGGAAGGGCCACCGAGGCCACGCCGGAAGGGCTCAGCCTGCGTCTCTGTCCGTCTCCTGCTGCCACGCCTGCCTCTGTAGTCTGGGCAAATACAAATCTCCTGCGATCCATATGCAGTGTACAGAGTGATCATGTTCTTTTCGAGGCCTCAGGTAGTGTCTGAAGCCCTGAACACAGTCACATAGTCTATGGACGCGGAGTTTTGCTTTTCGGAGTGTTTCCGTGCTGCCCGGCAGGATGGAGTCTGAGGTCGATCTCCACATCGTGATGGTGTGCTACCAATTCGATGAGGGAATGTGGAGAGTGTAGAGCGGCTTAGGGCTTAGTTGATCATGGCTTTAAATGCAGTGGCCCATCACGGTGCAAAGGCCATGGCCCTGCCGGAACACCCTGCAGTGGTGTTCTTGGACACAGTCAAGGCACGGCTGACAGTTCTTCTGTTCCAAGGGCTTGTGAGGACGTTGACCGCCTGTGCTTTGCGGTTCCTACAGGGTTAGAAGCCATCGCCGGGCGGAGAATAAGCCTTCTGCTCCAGGCCGAAGCGCAGCACCACTTGCAACAGGCGTCTGCGCAGCGCCTGACCTCGTTGCTTACCATGGCCACAGCTGCAAGATCCGTCGACAAGTTCTCTACCCTTGCGAGGTGTTGGGCCAGAAACTGCACGTCGTGGGCCTGGGAGATCATGCCACCGCCACGCTGGACGTCGGGACCTTGTGGCGGATTGCCTCGGGCCTCGATAGGAGGCCGTTGGAGACAGGTGTCAAGGCATTTCTTTGCAGGGTGAAGGCATGATTTCAGGAACGAACGCTGCTGAAATGCAGCTGCAGAACGAACCCGTACTTGCAGCACATCTGACCGCCATGCTTGCTCAGACAATAACTCATGGCAGTGGACAGTTGTTGAGAGAAGAGATGCAATATGATACAATGTTTGACTAGCAGCGCCAGCACAGCCTGCCGAATTCAGTGTACTCAATACACACCTATCTGTTTTCAGATACTCATGACAAGAAAACAGACGAAGACATGTTCGCCCATCCGAACTCTGCTGGCTCGTGCCGTGTTGATCACTCTCTTGACCACTGAATGCAGCAACTATGGATTTGTTACTAAAGCTTCTCGACAGGGTGCAGGCTGAACTTTTTCTTTCGCCAACCGCTCGTACTCCCTCCGGCCCTGCCAGCGTGTTTCGCCAACTGAGCTTCACTGTGTACCCTCCTCGTCTGGACTTCGGGACATATCTGAGATTCACTCAGAGCCAGCATCTAAACCTAAACCCTGCAAGCCCAGCAATCTGAAATCTGGTGTGTCAATTAGGCGGGCCTCATGGTGAAAAGAGCCGTGACCGAAGCTGCGCCGACCACGAGGCGCCCACGCCTCAGAGTCACCGCGGCTTCATGCCACGATTGCTTTTAGGGTCTTCGGTTTAGGGTTTGGGGTTTAGGATTTCGGTAGCTTCTTCCGCAAAGAGTTTCTTGTCACTTTACATCTTCGCGGAGAGCACACATAACTAATTAGACATTCGGCATGGTAAAGACTGGCGCAACATGAAGGACTCTTTGAGACCTAGTTGCATGCACATACTGTGATTCCCGCCAGCCGTTTCGCATCAGCAGTTGCTGAATGTCAATTGCCATGCCCAGGATTGCAGTACGGAAAGGCACACCTTGTGTCGGCATCTCGCCGCATAAGCCATTCCACCAACCGGGCCTAAACCAGTTGTGACAGCCTCTCTAGTGATCTCAGAGATGTACTGTGGCCAGGGTCGAGATCACGATGAGTGGCCTCTCCTGCCCGGAGAGCCAGGCGCCATCAGTTTTTTTGAGCTGCTTGATACGATGAAGCCCTCAACCCCGAATCTCAAGCCCCCAAAGCTGCTCAGTTCGAAGGTTTGGGCTTTAGAGCATTGCCATGACCATTACCATATTTTTACATTATGTTTCAGCAACTTACAGGCTGACAGAACACATGGCACCATCACTCAATCACCCACAAGTGCATGCCTTCAGCACTTCTGAGAAACCGCAGTGGAAGTTGCAGAAGCTGGGGTCGATGGGGCTCCTAACAGAATATGGCACGGCGACGTATGGTCTTTGCCCACCTCGGTCGGAAGATGGCCATGCCCTTGGCTTCAGACGGGAGGAGCTGACCGAACCCCGAATTTCGAATCTCGGCTGTGCAGGCTGGAAGACACCACTGCCGGTTGAAGTGCCAGGCTCCTGGGTTGGAGGAGTCGGGAGGAGGGGATAGTAAAGGCTATCGGAAACGCCTCAGGTACTGTGGAGATCAGGAGCTCACCACGAGGTTACTATAAGGGTACTACAAGGGAGCTCTGATGTTGTTGTAGCAGGTCGCTATAAATGAGCCCGAACCAGCCCATCGCCTATGCCTTTGCCTGGGTGCCTGGCTCAGCAGAACTCGCATGGCAAAGCTTCAGGAGATGAGTTAGTTTCAAGTCATGCAAAACAGAGGGCTCAGCCGAATACTCGCTTCCGCAGCTGGCCAATGGCGCTGGCGACATTAGCCTTCTTGTTACTGCTGGGTGGAGCGCACCCGGCCGCCGTGACAGTGAAGTTACGGACGGTTCGACAGCAAGGACAGCACCTTCATCCAGGACTGGATGCCCCTCAAGCTGCGTCTAGTTCTGTGTGTATTCGCAACGTCCAGAAGTCCAGAAAGCGCTATTGTGCTATGCGAAAGTACTCTGGGTCCTTTAGACGGGAAGCCCAAGCCCGAAAACCTTAAATCCGAGACACCACCCACCAGGACGATGGCGCAGCTTCGGCAAAGAGGCCGGCGTGATGAGACGACATGTCGGACAAAATTAGTACTTTTACCTCGGCTTGCTTGGAGCTAGCAGGCAGGCGTGCATGAATGTCTGCATGGAATGCATATGTGTAACCGTGTATGTTTGTGAGTGCAGGGGCATTGGGCCTGCGCATCATATCGTATGTGCGAGTACATTTCTATGTACATCTCTGTCTCGTCTATGTACCTACCTATCTATCTATCTATCTATCCGTCTGTCTACCTGTCTATCCGGACGAAAGAGCTGCGACCCAAGCCAATCCCTAAGAAAGGCAGTGGCCGCACAGGGCCCGTGGCCATCTACTTACATGTCTACCTTCCTGTCGTCTCTCTGTCTGCCTATCTGAATATCTAGCTTCGCTGATATCTAGCTTTCTATCCGTCTATCTTCCAGTGTGTCTACCTATCTACACATCTATCTATCCATGCGTCTATTTTTTTGCTTACCTGTTTAGTTTATGAATCTACCGGTCTGTATATATCATGTATGCATCTAGCCATTATCTACCTACCTATATATGTTCCTACCTTGCTACCTACCGACCGGCCGACCGACCACCTTACCTCCCTTCTCAATCAATTAATCAGTCAATCAATAATCAGTCAGTCAATTTGTCAATCAGACAACATGTCATTTGTCTGGGCATGCTGACCGTGTAATAAGCCGCAAACGCACAGACATATCTGTATGTATATATATATATATAGATACATGTACACAGACAAGTATGCTTATATATATATATATGTATATATACATATACATTTATGTATGTATATCTATATGTATGTATATGATGCATGTTTAGTTATTTGCACACACATAACACATATATATATATATATATGTACATACACCCACCCACATACATGCACACACGCCCATATGTATAGGCGTGTGTATTTACATACATGTTTGCATATCTATCTGTCATCTATTTACCTATCTATTTGTCTATGAATTTGTCTACCTATCCATCTATCTATGCGTCTATCTATTTATCGACCTATCTATGTTTACACATGTATTGGGGATGTAGGTTGGTCGGTAAGCCGGCTGGTCGTTTGCTCGGCAGACATAGATCGATAAATATATGTATACATATATTTATACATATATTTACGCATGCACATAGCATATATATGCATATATATATATATATATGTACGTATTTATATTAATATTTACTTGTTTATACAAAGAGACGGGGTATAACTAAAAGTCCCGAGGCCATGGGCTTCGAGGTGTCAGAGCTCGGCTTCAGCCCAGACCCGCTGTTCCGAAACGCCTCCCTGCGAGGACCCGCGGATTGCTTGTCTGAGGAAGTTTTTTCTAAACTCTCTCTCCTGCGCCTTCTGAAGAGTACGCCAAGTCCGCCAGCTCGAATCCGCTAAATCCCCGAAGCCTGGTTTTCTCCACTCAACGCTCATTTCTTTTAGTGCCAGCTTCCCTTCCATGGAGGGCCAACTCTGGGTCTGCAGCTTCTGGCTTCTCCGGCTTCGGCCGCGCTGGAGCTGAGGAATGCCGCGAGTCAGAATTGTTTTGAGGTTTTTGGGGTTGAGCTTTGTGGTTTTGGTGGGTTTAGGAAGGGTTCTAGAAGTGTCAGTACAAGGGTTGCTGCCAGGGTGGAGAGGTGTCTGCTGGGACCCGGGAAGTTTGAAACCCTCCGCCAGGTGAACAGTCTGCTTTATACAGCGGACCTGGACATAGGGGTTGGCGGACGATCTGCTCGGGTCGTGGTGGACACCGGTGGCACGACTGATTTTAAAATTCTGCTCATATATATCTCGAACGGGAAACTATATTATTGAAACTAAGAAGTTATATTTTAATACATTTATAAAAACCTGTGGTATTGCTAGGCCAGGCACTGCCAAGTGAGGTTCTGCGGACTTTTGGCTGAAGCCGAACCTGCTGGTGGAGGAGGTGCATGGTCAGAAGCTTGCCCCTCCGCTTTGTCTTAGAGTGCTTTGGCCATGTACTTTCATGTAGCTCAACCCTTCTCAACCAAGGGCTTCGTACCGAATTATGATGCCGTCAGCATGATTCTGTGCAGCTTTGCTAAAGAGTCCGTGCAAGGTCAGTGCCTCGCCTCGGCGACAGGACGTTCGTGGACAGCTACTCGTACCAGAGTATTTGATCCGATACGGACTCGGTGAGGTCATAGCGATCCCAATCGTCGAAGAGCGTGTTTGTGCTGGGTCCCTGTGCCTGAAGCAGATGGAGCTCATGCTTGCGGTAAAGATTCAGGGCGTCCAGGAGCAGGGGGCCTTTGACGGATGCTGGGTTCTTCATATGGGACCTGCTTTGTTGTTTTTTGCAGGGTTGGATAAGGGTTCCGTGAGGTGTGAAGACTCTCAGTTTTTGTTGTTATGAGTGAGAGGTGAGACGGATAGCAGATGATTTGCGATGTGCTCCTGAATAACAGCTCAGGATTGGCAGGGCTGGCTTTCCCACTGCTGCAGCAAGCGCCGACGAATCAGACTCTCCTCCAAGCTTTGCAGCTCCAAAGCGGCTGCAAGCACTTTGGCTTTTCCCTGGCGCTGCGCGGCGAAGGCGGCGAGAGCCTTCTCAGCCTGGGTGAAGTGAAAGATCTCGTGAAAGCGATGGAGAAAGCGGAGGGCGGCAGCAGCGTTCCCGTCAAGGTCGTGAATAGAGACCAGGACTCGGAGCCTGGCTACTGGATGGTGAAGGTCGGGACTCCCCAAAAGCTTCGCATCGGGATGGGAAGGTCGCCTTCTGCAAGATGCTAGAAAGGGATCCGGAACCAGGCGTTCTTGAAGGCCCGGGTTCACTGTTACAGCCGTGAGGTGAGAATGTCGGTCTTCAACGGCCAGAGTCAGAATCAGCTGCTTCTGGCGAAAGGAAAGGGCCTCCTGGATTCCGGCAGCTCCTTCCTGGCCGTGCCTGAGGAGAGTCTGGGTGGTTCTAGGTTACCTGTATGTCTGTTGTCACGAACAGTCCGACCGTCCACTCAGCCCATTCGAGCGCAGCGAAGTCGTCCCTCAGACTGTCATTTCGAACGTTTCGCTATGCACAACCCTCTACAACTTTACACATCCTAGCTCTACCCTAAAGCCAGGGTTTGGTGGGCTACATCGTCATGGCGCTTACCTACGGCCATGGAGGGCTTCCCAGCCTCGCAGTGGATGAATCACAAAGGCTGCTGTGCAGGCGGGAGACTCCCAAGATGTAGAACCCATGAACCGCGAACCCGGCCGACCGAAGTCCCGAACTCTACGACATCGAGACAACTTCACCCTACCTCCTTGGATCCAGGGTTGAGGCTCAAGGTAAGTTCCAGGATTCTTGGACTGATGGTTGCGGCCTTTGACGCGCCACTATGGTGTATGGTTGCTGGCTCTACATCGCCCCCGGAAATAGCTTGCCCTTTACTTCCAGTTAACGTATGTGACGCTGAGGACGCTAAAGGACCAGCACCTGCAGCCTCGGTGACCTCGAACCCTTGACCAAAGGATTTGTCCCAAACTTCGGTTGCAGATGGGCAGGTGCGACGCCGGACTGAACGACCTCGTCTTCGAGGTTTTCGGCGAAGATGGGAGAACCTTAAAGGTGACCCTCACCCAGGACCTGCATGCACAAAGGGCACGGCTTGATTTTCCTCTGCACTGTTCTGCACTCTGAGCATCAGCCGCTAGCAGATATCCATGCTGAGCGTTGCAGTTGTTTTGCACAGTTTTGCACCTCCATCTTTCTATGGTTCAGTCCCTCAAGCCGTGCTGGCTACTGGAATCGTTTTCTTGCTCCTGAGCTCCGATGCTTTACGGAATGTATACGCATGCTGCCCGATCATCCCGATGAATTCAAGTAAGCCCTGCGTGTGAGACAGGACGACTTGCTGGAGCCTCCGACGTCGCTCTTTTCTTCTTACTGTGCGCTTCGCCTCCTGGTGATTCCGGCCACCGCAAACATCCCTTATTTGAGCCCTTGGCATGAGGAAGCTGTTTTAGGTTTAGGGTTGGAGTTTAGGGGTTATGAGTATGGATTGGGTGAGGCCCTGGCGTGTTCAGCACAGCGTAATCGCTGATGCTCTTCTCAGAGGATCGAGGATAGTAGGGGCGATGCCAGGCATGGCTGGGACATCAAGGCTTGAGGTTTGCAGATGGCTGGAGTACGCAAGATCTGCCCTTCTCGCAGTCTGAAGATCGCAGCACGACAAACCGCCAAACAGCTGAATCTCAGGATCATCGGCGACCCCTTTCTTCGCAAGGTCTCCGTGGTCTTCGACGTTGATGCCACCAGGGTGCACGTGCTGCCTGTCGGAGATAAGAAGGGAGCTGCATTGGTGGCAGAGGTGGGCATAGAAGTGTTCCGGAACTTCAGAGCTAACCGCAAATATCCTAGATGCTAAGCCCTTGAAGCCAGCATAAGAAGATAGCAAAATTGTACACTCGACTATAGTCTAAGCAAACATGAATGTTTGCAGTCTCATGCAATCGAAGATAGACTCATGAGCAGGGCCTCGCCGCTGGCCCTCCGCGTGGACTGGCGCTGCTCTGTCTCGCCTCCCTGCTGACTTTGGCCCTGGCTGCGACCTGCGCCTGGCGGCGCTGGTGGCAGGGCCCGGGCGAAGCCGGGCACGACCAGTACCTGGCCATGTAGAGATTTCTCTGGATGCCTGGAAGCTCCAGGACCCCGTAGTTGAAACATGGTCTTGGGGACCCTGGGATATTGGAGTCTCTGGGTGGGTGGAAGAAGTGGAAGGTGCGACGCTCCAGGAGGAACGTGTGTGGTTTGGAGCCGGGACAATGCGAGATGGGTCCTGCGCGAAGAACACCTTCTGCGTCAGGCCGCTCATTGCCTTGGACTTTTGATGCCTGACCTCTTGACCTGACATCACGTCGGTGACAGAAAAGCACTGGAGTCTGGTTGATTCAGGGCTGTGGTTCCTCTCCACCAAGACGGGATACAGGCTCCTCTTGTTTTCCGAGCCGCATCAACCCCCCCGAAGTCTGAAGCTCTTGGCCCCCATGCTTACATTTTCTTATATATATATATATATATGAAGTGCCACAAAACCCTACTCTGATTATTGAGGCCCTCCCCCATATTAGCAGGTTCTTGGCGAGTGCCGAGCTGCCAACGATGCCTTGGCGGAGTGGATTAGCAAGTACGTCTTCGGGGCAGCGACACGCAGGAACCCGAGCCGAAGGTGTTGCGACAGTATAGGGTTTCCGGGTCGAACCCTAAACCCTGCAGGCCTAACTCCTCTGGAGGAGCTTTTGAGGGCTTTGGTGGGCCTTATACACACTTGGGGTTTCACAGTCTGAGTGAAACTGTGCCCTAAAGCTGCTCCTGGCTTCTGGTGGTTGAAGGAATCGATCAAGCTCTGGTAGCCCCAAAATCCCAAGCCCTGAACCAATCCCGAAACCACAACCCCTCAGAGCTGTGATACCGATCGGGCTGAGAGTTTTGGGGTTTAGGTCTTAGGCAGTTTAAGGGTTCAGGAAGTACGACTTCAGCATAAAGTATAGAATCCCGTAAAGAAGGCGATGCATCACAGGCCTCGAGTAGGCGTGCTTCAGGCCCAGACTCGCTTGGAGACAATGCCTGGTGGGACGCAGAAGCCGCGGACAAGGCGACGTCTTCGAGTTTTAGGGCTTTGGGGTCTTTGGATTTTGGCGTTTGGTTTTTTTTTGGGGTTTGGGGTTTGGGGTTAAGGCGTGGGACCCGGCATGGACATAGAGGGGAGAGCAAGTGCGGTAACAACAAGTTAAGCTGGACGAGAAACCAACATACAGCATTAGATAATGTATGTCTTCGCAGATGTATATGAACGAAAGCATGCAAGCACCGGAGACACTGTGGGTCGTCGGTCGAGTGAGCTCTCCGACACTAGTGGCGATGAATGAACCCCAGAGCAGCTGTGAGGACATGCAAGCCTGAGAGTGGCTGGCAAAAGGAAGCGCACATAATTTGGCAGACACAGTAGAGTCTGTCGCACTAACATCCATAGCCTGCTGAGAGGCTTAGGTACCAGCAGTGCAAAGACTCATTTAGTCCAGGAATTTGTGCTGAGCCTTTGTAAGGTTTGGCCCTCTGAGCCCGTTTTCTACCGTTTCCCATGCCCTGGCAGGAACCTGTCGCGGCGCTGATCCTCGCTTTGAGAACACTTTCGTGGGGAAGCCTGGAGCATGCGTGTCTCTATTCTTCGTTCGTCTCTCTCTCTCTCTCTTTATCTTTCTCTGTCTCTCTGTCTCTCTGTCCGTCTGTCTGTCTGCCCGCCTGCCTGGCTGTCTGTCTGTCTGTCTGTCTGTCTGTTGGTGTCTCTTTCTCTCTCTCTCTCTCTCTCTCTCGCCCTCTTTTTTTGTGTTCTTTTCTCTCTCTGTCTCTCTCGCCCTTTCTCTCTATCTCTGGCTCTCTATGTCTGTATGTGTCTATCTATCCATTTACCTATGTATCAATGTACGATGCATCTATCTGTCTATCGATCTGTCTATCTACCGTATCTATCTTTCTATCTGCCTATCCAGCTACCTATCTATGCTTCCACCTATCGACCTATCTAATTGTCTAACCATCTAACCATCCAATTATCTGACCTCTTTACCTTATTTACAAATTTTCTTTTCCACATTTGCACCTATCTACCTACTTACCTATTTACCTATCAACCTATCTGCTAGCTGTCTGGATGTCTGCCCACCCATCCACCCATCCACCCATCCACCCATCCACCCATCCACCCATCCACCCATCCACCCATCCACCCATCCACCCATCCACCCATCCCCATTCATGTAGAATGTATGTGTGCATATTGATACACGCGCATTTATTCTGATCCATGTCGCTTCTGTAGTTGAGGAATGGTGTCACGCATTTACCCTAGAACCTCGGGAGTTGGGTCGAACAGTGCAGACTTACACGTGGCCTTTGGAGTTCAGGTACAACAAATGAGTCGTTGGTCTTTCTCGTGCTATGCTTCGACAGTCTAACCATGTGTTCGGATGCTTTCTGAGTCTTGAAAGCTTATCGAAGAACGGGGGGTTGGTGGAGGTCTCTCGAGAATCATTCGTTCCCGTGCGTCCTTCGTTTCCAGTCCCGACGGCACAGCAGTTACAGTAGAAACGGCATCAATGAGGATTGCTCTACTACCACAACCTCCACCACTACTGCAACTCCGAGTAGAAACGAACACAATGCTACTGAGACCATACATTGCAGCAGTGATGATGCCGGAAACTGTTTTGGCTAATGGAGTTCCTACCCATCAGAGTCAGAAAGGAATCTTCCAAGGCCCCTGCGCGAAGGTGACCTGGTGGTTTGCGCGCATCCAACTTCGTTGTGCCGCTGCCTGAGCTGGTGTTTGGGGGGTTGGGTGTGAAGGGGGTACTCCTTAAGAGCTGAAGGGTTTCAGGATATCAAGCTTTAAGGCTTGAGGATTTTTGGGGTGAGGGTTTGCCATGGCTGAAGGGTTAAGAGTCCAGGATTTGAGGGAGCATGCTGCGCAGTGTAATGCTGAGTGTGACCATGAACACCGATCCCAGCAATGCTGATTCTAGTTCAGGGTAGCTGGAAGTCAGTGCCGAAAGTTGCCGTGCAGAGGCCTGATGTGTTTTTGGGCCACCTGGAGGCCCAGTTGCCTGGAGACGGGAGCTCGATGCATCAGTAGCTGTCAGAGCCGTGATGAGGTTCGCCGATGAGCTGGCGGTGAGCAGTGCTGGCCAACTTGCATCCCTAAAATGTGCTCACATGTAGGCTTGAAGCTCATTCTTGTGATTGAAGTGGTTCTACAGCTATTGTTGGTAGTTGTTACCGTCACCAGTATCAAAATTTGGGCTCGATTATGACTGTCAGCATGATAATGATTCGGATTGTGTTTTTTGCTGCTCCAAGGAAGACAAGAGCATAGCTTTGAGATTTGCCTCCGCAGTTTAGTACTGAGCTGCCGATGGCCTTTGTTTTGGTGTCTGAAGCTGCGTGGGAAGAGATGAAGCCAACTGAGGGCCAGCCGTGTCTAGTTACCAAGCCCGGATGACAAACTGCAGAAGGATGATGTGGGCTTCTTGGGTGTCTGCTTTGCGTGCTACTCCACACCAGCCATATACCCGAAGAATCCGGAAAAGAAGCAAAACACGACACCCAGCAAGCCAAAACACCTTGCAGGACCCAGCCAACATGGTTTCTGCGACATTCAGGGCTAAGCCCCAAACTTCGAGAGCCAGGACGGCTTCCAATGCTCCTACACATCTCCTCAACGCCGCTTTGACTTTGATCATGCCCTGGGAAGGATTGTTTGAGGGCAGGAGTCCCTTTCTCTTGGGATCCCGATGACAAGGATCCTGCGGGGGTCTATATTTGGGTTCTTGTTTTCGGATGCTCCTGCTTCGATATTCATTCAGATCCCACGCCGCTGTCCAACCTTCTCGCAAGCTTTCCAATGCCCCTTGAACTCTGCGTGTGTTGACTGACTGATTGAGCCAGGAACTAATTGTGTATTTGGCTAGCCTTCTAATTGACCGACAAAAAACATGGAAACGATAGACACAATCCCACAGGTCCATTTGAGCGCCGACAGTTCCGAGGCTCCTTTACGGTGCCCCGGGCGGTAGCCAAGGAGCTCTTGGCTTCCTTCGCCTGGCGAGGCTTTGAGTCAAAAGCTGCTTTGACCTGTGGTTGTGGCGATTGTTATGATTGTCGCGACAGTGATGCTTGACGCGATGGCCCTGATCATGCCATTTTTCTTTTCTCATGCGGATGAACAATCACTAGTTTTGCTGCTGCCAGTAGGCGTTCTGCAATTTATTTGCATTGGCGTCCTGTTCTTGCTCTTACCGGGGGGAGTGGAACCTCTTGGTGGCTTTTCAGACGGTGCCTGGAATGGTTCTGCAGGAAAGAAGAGAGTGTCAGAGGGAGGGAGGTCCTCTCAGGGTTCCGGTGCAGTTCTCGTTGTTTTAGATTCTTCTGCGCTTTTGTATGGTCCCTCGGTTCCGGGCTTACGAGGACGATGCTATTCATGCTTCCCTGATGGGCCTGAACTAGGATCGGTCTTGGACTGAGCCAGGAGCCGTGCAGCTGGTGCTCACACAATATGTGTCGAGATATTGGAAGGGTGCGGCAACGAAAATTCTTGTCGATTGTCATAGGGCTGCCTACCTTGCTGCAGGGACTTGCTGACTGGGCCCTTCCCCCTCATGGCCTTGGCAGAGGCGGGCGGCATGTGATATGAGTCTCACTGGGCAACTGAACCCGACGGTCCCACACACGAAACCCTCGGCCCCTAAACTAAACTTTCAGCCCTTTCCCCCTTTCAGGGCGCCTTCCTGTCTGCCCAGCTCTTCGACCAAGTTGGGGTGCGAGTGGCCTCTGGCCCTGCTTTGGCTCTTTACCTCGAAGACACAGGCCCGCATGCCAGCCTTCTCCAAATCCTGCCGCACTGGAACCAAAACCCTGAAGAGTTTGAATCCTCAAACCTGAAGGCTACTTGGAGAACAAGGCGATTGAGAGGCTCCCGACCATCCTCGTGACGCGAGCCCGACTCTTCAACCATCCTGCAGGCGGGTTGACATCTTCCGAGATGGAGCTGCGATGGAACATCCACAGGAATCACAGTTCACAATAGCATCATACCATACATGTTCGTAAGATGGCGAGGCTTCTTCTTCCGCGGTCTGTTGATGGAGTTTGCCATCGTCAATCAGCCAATGGCTGATGCCAAGCGTCAACCTTGCTTGTTTGTCAAGATCTAGTTGCGGCCAAGAGTCTGGGATCATGCCCTTAACTGCGGCCAGAGTCTGGGATCATGCCGTTAACTTTATGAACCTCAAGCCGATGAGTTGCAAGGAAAGGAGTCACAGGACTCGACTGTGGACAGATGCCGGAAAGCTGGTGGTGTGCGCTCATCCCAAGTGGACCCGGTAAGCCCGCAGTCCCCGGAACCGAACCCTTCTAAACCTGACATCCCAACTCTTTGCCTTCTTTCTGGCCAGGCGGACACTTCTGGTTTTCAGAGGTTCCGAGTCTGGATGAGAAGGCGGCTTGGGGAGAAGTCGGGGCATTTCTGTGGTCAAAGCGGCACGGCCAGGTACAAGACGTTCCCAGACGCCTAGTTGAAGGTATCGGTGAAGGTAGAGGTAAGGCTTCCCCTAAACCCGAAACCCTCCAGCCATGCGGACAGAAAAGAGCCTGCAAAAAGAAAGCCAAGCCCCACACCCCAGACCCTAAACCCTAAACTCGTTTTGGTTAGGACTTTCGGCCTTGAGGGTTCAGGCTCGGAAGTTCAGGGTTTAGGAGGAACCAGGACCGATGCACTTGAAGCCGATTCCATTCTCCATTGCAGTGTGCTGGGTTGTGGGTAGACCTCGATGCCATGATCTCTCAGACTGCAAGCCCCAAAGCCATGAGGTCCTTGTGGAACCCTGTAGGATTCCTCTTGAAGTTCTGAAAGGCCTACAAGAGCCCTTATAGTAATCTGCAAAACGCCCCAAAGGCCAAAACCCTCCCAGGCAGATGAAGTCCGCGACATTGGCTTCGGTGGGGGCGGCGATCCCTGGAAAAGCTGGGAGGAGTTTTGGGTTCGATGGGGTTTGATTGGTTGTATGGGTTTTAAGGGTTTCCGAGTTAAAGGGCTTCGGGTCAGCCGGGAGATGTCTTGAGCTTCAGGTCTCAGGGTTTGTCTGGAATCAGGAACCTGTGTCATCCGCAAGCGGCTAGCGGTGGTCTCTAGCGAAACCGGAAAGTTCGAGGTCCCGAGGTCTCATGGGAAGAGCAGTTTCTTGACCTGTGATTCCATTTGGTCCTGCCCCTCTGCAACAAGCGATGCTCGTGCAGTTGCTGTCAATTTGAATCTTTTGAATCTTCTGACGATGATGACGACGATGATGACTGTGACGTTGAAAGTCAATGATAGGCGACGATAGTGTGATGCTACTGAACATGAGGACGACGTGTGTCCTTGCAGTAGTTGCGACGTGATGCTTTGAGTGCTGACATCCGCAATGTTGACCGCGCACTTCCGTTTCAATTATTATGTCATTTTGAGTCAAACAAGGCCAGCATCATCAGCATCAGCCGTCCTTCGAATCACCCACAAGCCAAAATAGGCCGGCATCATCAGCATCAGCCGTCGCTCGAAGCGCCCGCATCATCACCATCAGCCGTCCTTCGAATCACCCACAAGCCAACCAAGGCCAGCATCAACAGCTGCCGTCGCTCGAATCACCCACAAGCACAACGAAGCCAGCATCATCAGCATCAGCTGTCGCTCGAATCACAAGAAACAAGGCCAGCATCATCAGCATCAGCCGTCCCTCGAATCAACCCCAAGCCAAACGAGGCCAGCATCATCAGCATCAGCCGTCCATCGAATCACCCACAAGCCAAAGAAAGGCCGGCATCATCAGCATCAGCCGTCGCTCGAATTGCCCACGTCAGCAGCATCAGCCGTCCCTCGAATCATCCACAAGCCAACCAAGGCCAGCATCATCTGCTGCCGTCGCTCGAATCACCCACAAGCACAGCAAAGCCAGCATCATCAGCATCAGCTGTCGCTCGAACCACAAGAAACAAGACCAGCATCATCAGCATCAGCCGTCACTCGAATCAACCACAAGCCAACGAGGCCAGCATCATCAGCATCAGCTGTCCTTCGAATCACCCACAAGCCAAACAAAGGAGAGCATCAAAAGCATCAGCCGTCCCTCGAATCAGCCACAAGCCAACCAAGTCCAGCATCATCAGCATCAGCTGTCCCTCGAATCACCGTCGTCGTTGTTGTCGTTGTTGCTGTCTTTGCTGCTGTTACGTGCAATAATTACCTCTACGAGCTTTCAGACACTCGTTGCTACCATGATTCCCCGAAACCCTAAACCCCAAACCCTGAACCCTGGCTAGCTGAAGCACGAAACTGAGATCTCCCGCCCGAGAGGAGATGGCGCGCTGCGCAGCCGCCTTCTTCGTTCCTTCGGAGCCCATGTCTTGGCGGGTTGTCGACTTCTATACTATACTATACTATAATGTGGAATTGCATACTGTGAGATATTAACGGTATTGTAATACTGTAATATACTGCAATATACACTACAATGTACTATAATATACTTTAAAATGCTGTTACATCGACTTGGTTTGGAGTTCCGGATCTCAGCTGGGGTCTAGCGTTGAGCACAATTGGGGCCTTGTAGATCTCCTCACGCCAGTCCTCCTGACTACCAGTGACACCTTTGTTGACCAGAGAACCCTGAATCGGAAAAGACAAGGAACCCACAGCCCTAAGCCCGAAGGACATCCACCAGCGGACGTTCATCGAGCTCTACCGCATGAATGTCCCTCGGTCCTGATCTTCAGTACTTTTTCAGATCCTCGACCGTCATGGGGCCGAGCTTGATCACAAAGGCGGCGTTTCGGAGTTCGTTTGAAGGGTTTTTCAGTCAAGTTCCTGAGAGCGGTAGCCCTAAACCCCAAACTCTCAGCCCTCAAGGCTCAAATGAACCATAAGCCCGAAGCCCGAAACGGGATGGGGTTGGTCGAGGTTCCGACCTTCATGCCGGCTGTGGAGTGGCTTGTGCGGCTTCCGCTGGCCGCCCCCTTCGGTGCTACCACCAGAGTAGTAGTTTAAGGAAGCAGTGGATCGAGGATCCGAAGCAACTCTTATTGCCAGGACCCCTGCAGCCGAGCCCCTATTAAGTAGGCCATATTTTCAATAATGTTTAATTGCTGTTCGAATCATTTTGGGATCAACAGGCTTCGGTGTGTAAGGAGGTGTTTGTGGGTTCCTGTATGAAGTCTTCGCTCTGTATCAAGAACTGCTACGCGCTGTTGGGTTCCCGAAACGCACAGCCTGGCAAACAGCCGCAGAATTGCATCTGCAATGAGAGCTGGCTGAGGATTTCCTCGCTCGTTATTTGAAGGTCCTGGAGAGTGTTCTTGCCAGTTCGTTGAGTCGCTCTGGTTCAGCTCTTCTCCGAAAGGTGCCTTCAGCTATGCTGGTGCTCTGTCGCAGGAGGCCCACTGGGGCTCCAGACGCTTGGCATGGCAGTCGGGTTGCGCTTGGTTCGTGTTTGCAGGAGAAAGGCTCGGAGAAGCAGAGTCGGAGGCTGAGCTGAGATGAGAAGAGCAGTAGTAGAATGATACATCAATGCCTGCTTCAGATGTTGTAGTAAGACGTAATAGTAGCGAGAGTATCGATATTCCCAGGCCAAAATTACTCTTACTTCTACGACGACTGTTTCTACTCCTACCAGTACAGTACCTCCTCTGCCGACTTTGAACCTTTGCTGCGTTTCCTACCTGCAAGAAGCCACCGCTCAAGAACCGACAACCTCCCAGCCTTCGCCTACTGCGTCACTTAAACCTCCGACTCCCAGCCCCAACACGAACCCCTTTACTACTTTGTGCTAGTTAATTTCCAGCACTCGGCACAGCTACAGCAACCACAAAGCCTCGAAGTCTCCATGCCCGAAGTTTTTTGTGAAAGCTTGGAGGAACCATAAACCCTAAACCCTAAACGCCAAACCCGAAAATTCTGAAACCCTAAAACCCGAAAGTCATCAGCGGCCTCGCACCATGGAATTCCATGGCTTGCCCCGGGCCATCGCTCGAGGCTACACCTTCCGTGCAAGGGTTCCTCAACAGCTTCATAACGAAGGTTGCGTAGATATCTACACTCTAGAATCGCTCTCGCTCTCGCTCTCGCTCTCGCTCTCGCTCTCGCGCTCGCGCTCGCGCTCGCGCTCGCGCTCGCGCTCTCGCTCGCTCGCTCTCTCGCTCTCGCTCTCGCTCGCGCTCTCGCTCTCGCTCTCGCTCTCGCTCTCGCTCGCGCTCTCTCGCTCTCGCTCTCGCTCTCGCTCTCGCTCTCGCTCTCGCTCTCGCTCTCGCTCTCGCTCTCGCTCTCGCTCTCTCGCTCTCTCTCTCTCTCTCTCTCTCTCTCTCTCTCTCTCTCTCTCTCTCTCTCTCTCTCTCTCTCTCTCTCTCTCTCTCTCTCTCTCTCTCTCGCGACACATCAACACATCGACACACACACACACACGTTTAAGCACATACAGAACATACACAGTCTCACACATCCATATGCATACGTCATATACATGTACATGTGCATGTACAGGTACATTTGCATGTTCATATGCATATACATTTACATATGCAGATTTCGGTGCTGATCTAGAGAAATGTGCCTAGGGCCATGGCATAGCGGATACATGCATGCATATATTATGCATACATGCGTACCCACATAAAGTGCATGCCACGCTGCATCTTGTAAGCGGGCTTTTTGTTTGTTTTTAACAGTCGCGTGTTGGAAGGTTGATGAGGGTTGTATGTGGGTTTCCGCTTACCTAGATCCTGCTATGTGGATCTTTGTTCTGGTCCTTGGTTTTCTGATGCTCAATCCAATTGACGTGTACCTCAAAGCCACAAGCTGAAACCACAAGACCCTCAACCCGAAACTCTTTGGCATCTTTAGCTCAAGGTCTAATTCGATGGCCTAGACTGCAGAAATCTTGATGATGCTGCTGCATGCTGGATCTGGGCTGTCTCATTTTAATTCCCCCTGATGAAGGACACAGACTTCTGTTGTGGACTATGGCTTGCACTATCTATGCTTGGAAAACCCATACGCAGGGCTTCAGGCACCCTAAACCAGCTGTTTGTAAAGCTGAAGGACCCCAGTGCCTTATTGTTTCCAGTGTTGAAACTTAAACTCCGCTAAACCCTAAGCCCTAAACCCCAAGTTGAACCTTAAACCGCTTCCCCGGCGAGGAGCTGCTGACGGCAGCGCTGCTCCGCTGCGTCGCGGGCGGCCGGCGAGCGCCTGCGGAGCTTCGCGCGCTGCTGGCGGGGGTTTGGGGTTTTAGCTTTTTCGGGTTTTAGGGCTTAAGGGTTTTGGGGTTTTAGGGTTTTAGGGTTCAGGGTTTTAGGGTTCTAGGGTTTAGGGTTTAAGGTGGCAAGGGCCTTGCTTGGCGTTTGGGGAGGTCCTGCAAAGGTTCAACGAGGCTGGCTGGCATGGGGGGCTTTGTGTGTGTGTTTTTTTTTTTTTTTTTTTTTTCGGGTTTAGGGGGTCAGATTTTGGGATAAGGATTCAAGAAGGGATCTACGAGATTCGATTCATAACTTGTAGGGCTTGTCGGGAATTGGCAATGTCGAAATAGATGGTCTAAGCCCTAAACCCTAGCCCCTAAACCCCCAACCCCTAAACCCCTAAACCTCTAAACCCCTAAACCCTAAACCCACCCCACCTCCCAAGACTAAAAATTACAGCGGGGTGCTCTCACTTGCTCACCCATTGTCGTTTTGGCTTCGGCTGGGTCTTAAATTGGCCTTGATGGGTTTAGAGTTTTGGGGTTCAGGGTTTACGGGGGTTTAGGGCTTAGGATCGGGCTCCGCAGATCAGGGCTGCCATTCTACGGGTGGCGGATCTATAGGTTGTTGAGGACACAAATATGTGCAGCCACTCTGCAAGCCCAGCCTCGCAGTTCGAATCCATGCACCACATGAGAGTTTGAGGGACCCTAAACTAGAACCTGCATGGTAGGGTCGTATTGTGCGGACCCCCGAATCAGTTAGCCCAGGGTGCTCAAATCAAAACCCAGAGAAAAAGCAACACATATAAGATTCCTTCAGGCTCCAGTATGTTTCGTCCTGACTTTCAGGCCGCAGATGGATCCAGGAAGTTGCTGCAGAAGGTGGCGGTGCAGCTGGCCCTCAGAGAGCCGTTCCGTCCCCGGATTCGCTTTCCATTCTCTGAAGGTTTAAGGCGTTTGGGTTTAGACCGGTTGCAGCTTCTGGAGGTGTGTGAGAGAGAATGCCGAAGACGATGCTGCTGCTTCTTAGTCGAGTCATTCTTGCTATGTGTTCCGCTCAGGAGCCAGCTGTTAGGATACGAGCTGTTTTTCCAAAGAGTGAAACAACGGACGGTTGTCCTGAGGCGCTGCGAGCTGGCTTCACTGCTCGAGGACCTTTGTCTGCAAATTCTACGAAACACTTCGCAGCCCTAACTCCCGCAAATCCCTTCAAGCGCCAAAAAAACCCTCTTCAAGACATCTGACTGAGCCTTCAGAAATCTGAAAGAACCCTAAAGCCCTAAACCCCAATCCCTAAGCCCTAAACCCCTAAGCCCTAAACCTTAAACCCCAAAGAGCTAAGCCCAGCCCTTCTTCTTCAGGCGCTGGCCGCCTGCGATGCAGCGAAAGAGGTGTCGGCTGCCTTAGGCTCGGCTCTCGCCGAGGCTTGGAGACTCCGGCCTGTGGGTATTTGGGAATATGATGATTACCATGTCTGACACCCTGCATCTTCGCCCCCCCCCGAAATCTAGAGCTGTTGCATCGCAGCACAGCGGACAGACAACAACCGACCTAGAACCTCAATCGTAGGTTCCATCCTATGTACCTCACAGCTTCTTCAAGCAAAGCTCTGGGCACAGTTTCGGTGCCCAAGCCTCGTACACCCCAAGCCTCTTTCGTGTTGGTTTGCGCTTGTCTGAAGTTCTGAGACTATTGAGCAGATGTTCCTTCCAGGGAGTCGAAGGCCATGTAAGAAACGAACAGATCAGGCGTGCTGCTTTGGAGAGCTTGTCTTGAACGCCTCTAGCATTCGAGTCAAGAGGCCGAAGGCTAAGAGAAGTGCCAATGCACTCCACACCAACTGAACTCTGTACCTTAAACCCTAAACCCAAAACCACCGGAAAAAGGCATTCAAAAAAACACCCACACCCTCTACTTTCAGCTGCATCCGCACTCGTCGGTATGCCCGTCAGGTCCTCTGTGTCGAGACCAGCCCCGAGCCCCGAGTTCTGGAGTTGCTGAGGCGGGAGGCAGACTTCAAAGCCAAGCAAGGGAAGAGCAATCGACATATATATATATATATATATATTGCAAATAGTATGTGGTATATAGTAGTATTGTAATGTAAGGTGTGTAGTACGTAATGTATTTTATGACCTCCGAAAACTAATGCTGTCATTTCCTGGCCCTCAGAACAGTCCTTTCGGTACAACTAATGGCTCGGACTTCTACGACAACATCGGTGTTCCGACTGCTACGACGACGACCGCGACCGCTGCGCGATGACGATGATGAGTACGGAAACGACCCCGGACTGGAAACGGCCACTTGTCCTCTTGCACTGGCACTTAGGCATAAGCCAATATTACTGGCATGATCTGAATGTAATACCTGGGCCCTTCAAACCCGAAACCGTATATCCCAAGCTGTCGTCCAAGCCTCAAGCCCTAAACCCCGAATCTGAAGTCGTAGAAGGAGACCCTGATAAAAAGCCCGAAGTCGTCCGACCGACCCAGCTGCGTCTCGTGAGGCGACTGGTGGCCATGGAGTGGGTGCAGGCTTGATCGAGGGACTGCCCGGCTTAGCGGTGCCTGTATTAGGATGCGACTATCTTGGGTCAGTATTAGGGTCGCTTGTTTATTGAAACTCCCTTTCAACTCTTGAAGGGTCGTTGCGCGCTCATGAAAGTGCGGTCGGCCTCAGGGTGGCTCGGAAGCTGCGTCGTTGAACCAGAGGTGTCCGGCCTTGTGGCAGTCGTAGAGGAGTTGGTCGCTCAGCAGAAGGAGGCCACCTGTCAAGCTTAGCGATGCTGCATTCGAACTTGGCCCCTTTGTATCATGGGACTGTAGCCCTCTGCGCAATCCCAGCCCCAACGTCGCTTCCCATAGTATTCGTAATGATGGTATTGGTAACAGTACAAATGACAATAAGCCTCAGTCTAATACTCGTGCTACCCAGACGAAGTCCCTTGATTATAGCCAGAATCGGGTATAGTGACCCTGCCAGAATGGCGAGCTGCCTCGCAGCTTTGCCCTGCTGGACCTGGCTGCGCAGTGCGTGCCCAGGATCGGACTCCGAGCCCTCATCAGTCACTGGATAACATGCATGTATATGCACATGAATATAGTTTATATCGATTTGCAGAACATGCATATATACACATAGTTGTCCATGTCTGTGTCTGTGTCTATGTCTATGTTGATCCTTATGTGTATGTAGTAAGAATATATGTGCATATGTGTCTTTATCCACGTGCATGTGTATGTGTATATGCCATCAGTGTGCGGATGTGTGTGCATGTTTGTTTCCGAGTGCGTCTGAGGTCGCTTTCCATGTATGTATCTGTCTGTCTGTCTATCTATGTATCTAGCTATCTAGTTATCTAACCATCTACCTAGTTATCTATCTATCTATCTTATTTGTCTATCTATTTATCTATCTATCTACCTAGCTGTCTATTTATCTATCTATCGATCTGTTTGTCTATCTCTCTCTCTCTCAATATCTCTATCTCTCTCTCTCTCTGTCTCTCTCTCAATCTCTCCATCTATCTGTCTATCTGTCTGTCTATCTATCTATCTCTCCATCTACCTATCAGTCTCTCTCTCTCTCTCTCTATCTATCTATCCACCTATGTATTTATCGAACAATCAATCTAGCTAGCAATCTGTCTATGTATGTATCCATCCATGCATGCATGGTCATGCATGCATCCATCCATCCCTCCGTCCATCCATCCATCGATCTATCTGTCTATCTACCTAGCCATGTGCCTGTCTGTCTGCCTGCCTGTTTGTCTACCTGTCTATTTCTCTCTCCGAATGTAGACACACCTGAACGCACATCTACAGACAAATGACCATCTGAAGAACACTGAGGAGGGGTGCAAGTGGTTGAGGGCACAGGACACCCAAGACCATAGCGACACACACCGAAACCCACAACAAAAGCACAAGCATAAATTAAGCCCCAAACCCGAAACGCACACCACCTGTCCCGAGATCCCTAAACCCTGCATTACCCAGACCCCATAAGAACCCGGTGCGAACCGCAGAAGAACCCTATAAGAGCCCTCTACTCCCAAGAACGACCAGTGGATGCCGGTCAGCTGCCAGGGCCGGCGAGCTGCCGAGAGCCTTGGCGAACTCTTCGCTGCTTCCGATCTTGGCCCTTTTGGCCTCAATGAGGGGTCACCCAGGAGGGTTGCTGGTGTTGTTTACTACTAGGGGGTTGTGAGAGGGTGTGGGTTTTCTATCTCGGTTGAGAGTCTAGGGCGTGGGATCAGGGTTTAGGGTTTAGATGGGTTCAGGGTGGCTTTCCTTCCCGGCATCCGAGCTTGTGTATAGCACAAGGATCGGTGAATGTTCTTGCATAAGCCCATACTTTGAGTGAGAGTTGTGACGGTTTCGTCAGGTGGCTTCACACGCAGCCGTGCGTGCGCAATATCCAGCCTTGGCTCAGGCAGGTTGGGCCGGTTCACGCCATCCTTATCTGCTCATGTGTGTTTCTGTGAGTGATGTCGTGATGCAATGTTAGCTGAACTATGGTGCTGTGGTTTACATAGAAAACCTTCGCCTAGACATCATGCCGACATGAAACAGCATGATATCAAGTTATCTAACGTCGCGAACCGTCAAGTGCTTCCAAGCGGTGACCCTGGCATGTCCTCCCATTAAAAGTGGGAATCTGTGGTGTTAGGCCAGAGTGCTCTCGCTCGTTACAGGCTGCAGTGCCGCTGCTGTGTGCAGCCGCGCCTCCGGTGCCTCTGCGGCCACGGCCGCCTCCAAGGCAGGCAGACAGCTCCTCGGAGGCGCGAGGGCTCTGGCAACCATAAATCTGCACGCAAACTTGCCACTTGTAGTTCATCGAATACGCTGCAAGTCTGGGCGACGTAGATGCCCCTGCGTGAGAGAAGCTTTCAAAAGCATGTCACCGACATGGGCAGGCCGAGGCGGAGATCGACGAACCACTGCACGAGCCTGCTGTCACATCCTCAGAGACTCGGGTCCGCGAGGTACTCAGGGTTCAGGTTCTGAGTTAATTGGATGGGTTTAGGGCTTGCCTCTTGCGCAGAGTGCTGCGAAACAGCCAGTGAGCATTTGCTGTGCATACTTGGATCGTTTCAATGTGTTCTCCTCAGGTCGTTTTCGAGGCAGTGGAAGATCTGCTTTCGGCATCGACGTCTCCAGATAGCTTGCTCCCTGTCGGCAAGGGAGAGGGGATGCTTGAAACATTTTGGCTCATCGGTAGCCCTCCATTCGCATGTACTTCGAATTCGCAAAGAAACCAGACTCGATGTTCGAAACCCTTACCTCGCCAAGCCTAAGCTTGATCCCGAGTCGCCCACGCATGCACATGAACTCGATCTCATACGGCAGTCTGCACGGCCACACCGGAAGGCTTCCCTACGCGCTGCTGCCGACCTTCCTACCGCCAGAGACGGGCCTCGGAGTGAGGCACCACGGCATGCTTCTGGCTGGGGCCGGAGGCGCCCTCGAGGAGCGCTGAGGGCTCCAAAGGTTTCTCCAAAACCTTCAAATCCTCGAGGTTGAGGGGCGAGCGATTGCTCCATCTTCCCGAGCATGGCCACAGAGCCGGGTCCAACATTGAACCCTGAATGCCCAGACCCTGAAGCTTAAGCCCGCAGGAGTGGGACTTGGATGCGGGTCTCCGTCTGGATCGCCTTTTTGCCTCCGGCGGGGAGGCTCATTCCTGGGAGATGTCTCAGCTTTTCGGGTTTGGGGAGCTCGACCTCATGGAGCTTCGGGGCTCCCGGCCCTGGGAACTGAACCCTTGTGAGAATATATATATATATATATATATTATATATATATAATGTATAATTTTAGTATAATATATATATATATATATGTATATATATATATATATATATACATACACACACATATGTAGAAGATGGGAGGAACGATGTGGAGCAACATGGTCTCAGCCGAAAAGAAGCGTCTTGGAAGCCGGCTGACAGGAGCCTGGACCCTTTCACGTGGTGAGCCTGATGGCACCAGGCTTCTCGGCCACCCAGGGAGCCCCTCACGAGGCCCGGGGGGCCTAAGCACGAATGTAGCCGGATGTAGTAGGTTCTTGCAGTAATCGTCAGCGGCATCGTAACGTGCCCCCCCACAGTCCCCACAGCCACAGTCATCTTCATCATCACCACTGCTATCATCACCCTCACTCTCACCCTCACACAAGCAGCAGAAGCAGCAGCACCCTCCCCACTGTCAACATCGTCGTTGTCATCATCGCGATCGTAGCGATCAGCACCGTCATGGCCATCATCATCTCAGCAGTACAATCCACATCAGTGTAGACATAGCATCAGCATCACAATCCTCAGCATTGAACATCACCATCAACAACATCCTTGTGTCGTCGTCTCTGCTACACGAACGAATACGACATGCAGAGTCGGAGTAAATTTGACATCAGAGCTCACGGAAACGATCTGCCGCATAAGGCGATCGTAAAGTTGCCTGCTGTTCAACAGTATCGCCGTTGCGGTAGTAGCTGTTCTCCTATCTACCAGGTGTTGGTGGCTGGCGTGAACGGTCCAGACGCTGGGTTGGCTCTCTTCCGCCGCACCGATGATGCGGCTTGGTGTGACAAGGCTTTAGATATCTGGCCTAACTGAGAGAAGGACCGCATGCGGGCTCAGTTGGCACCAGGGATGGGCGTTGTCCTTGACTCGTCCAGGTTTTGTTCTCGAACTTCGTGGCTTAGGCGGTTTTCAACAGTGTCTGCTGGGCAGCAGATAGCTTGCAGCCAGCCGGAAGCAAGTCGGCCATGCTTAGCAAGGTGATTGGGACTACTATAAGAGTACGGCAGTCTTACTGGTATGTACAGAGAGCGGAGAAGCATATTCACCTACCCAATATGCATCTTTTGGTGATCCCTAGTCTGATACATCGTTACCACCACCACCACCACCACCACCACCACCACCACCACCACCACCACCACCACCACCACCACCACCACCACCACCACCACCACCACCACCACCACCATCACCACCTTCACCACCACCACCACCATCACCACCATCACCACCTTCACCACCTTCACCACCTTCACCACCTTCACCACCTTCACCACCTTCACCACCTTCACCACCTTCACCACCTTCACCACCTTCACCACCTTCACCACCTTCACCACCTTCACCACCTTCACCACCTTCACCACCTTCACCTTCTTCACCTTCACCTTCTTCACCTTCACCTTCACCACCACCACCACCACCACCACCACCACCACCACCACCACCACCACCACACCACCACCACCACCCACCACCCCACCACCACCACCACCACCCCCACCCCACCACCACCACCACCACTCCACCACCACCACCACCACCACCACCACCACCACCAACCACCAACACACCACCACCACACACCACCACCACCACCACCACCACCACCACCACCACCACCACCACCACCACCACCACCAACCACCACCACACCACCCACCACCACCACCACCACCACCAACACCCCCAACCACACCACCCCCACCACCACCACCACCCACCACCACCACCACCACCACCACCACCACCACCACCACCACCACCACCACCACCACCTCAACACCACCACCACCTCAACACCACCACCACCACAACACCACCATCACCACCACCACCACCATCACCACCTCACCACCACCTCACCACCACCACCACCACCACCACCACAACACCACCACCACCACAACACCACCACCACCACCACCACAACACCACCACAACACCACCACCACCACACCACCACCACCACCACCACCACCACCACCACCACCACCACCACCACCACCACCACCACCACCACCACCACCACCACCACCACCACCACCACCACCACCACCACCACCACCACCACCACCACCACCACCACCACCAAAAACCACCACCACCAACCACCACCACCACCACCAACCACCACCACCACCAACCACCACCACCCACCACCACCACCACCACCACCACCACCACC